GATTGCTTAACCCTTAGACAACTACGCAATTTTCTTCTACGTAAAGTACGCAGTAGGATTTATAACAGACTTGTACGAAAAAAAGCCATGCGCTTGAGAGTCGTTTTAGCAAATATTAATATCAACGTGTCTATTAATTAGATGAAAGATTAATCGATATCGTTTATTAGAGAAAATAATATTATTAAATGATAATCGTAAATATACTATTAATATTGACGTATATCAATAATATTAAGATTAATACATTAGATTAGTGATATTACAAACGCTTTAAAGTAAAAGTACTTATGAAAACAAAAAACATGTACATTCTTATGTGCTTCGTAAATAAGTAAATAAAAACGTATATATATATATATCTATTTAATGTATTTTCTGGAAATATACTTCCTTTTTCTGATTTGCTATTAGAACAAGAAGGTTGCGGCCATTGTCAATGGTACGACGAATGATTCCAAAATAGGAGGCGCTGATTATTCCGATCTGCTTGGAAGTGTTGCCGCTAAAGTGAAATTTCATCGAGAAGTTGGCAGAGGTGAAAGATACGGTCGTTATTCATATTATTAGATTTCCTAAATAGAAAATTTTTTTTTTATTTAAAGGAAACAATGCGAATGTTAGATAAAATGTGTCGATAGTATAGTAGTAATTATTTTCCTCGATGTATTCCCTTTCCTTAATTTTTAATGCAACATAGTTAAAGAAAGTAACACAAGTTACGAATAATCTAGAAATGCCCAAAGTCAGTTGAAATTTCAAAACTGTTCCTGGGTTGAGTTTCATTTTTGGATAGCTCCTTTCTAATGATTTTAAAATGATTGTTCCAGCATTGCCAGCAAGTCCAACTGAAGAAAATGCTTGTCTTCGGGGTACGGACAGTCATAAATTGCAATTGATGAAAGCCAATTTTTTCGATGGTAGCGACGAGGAAATGAGCGACGTCTACGAGCGAGGTACTACGAATAATTTTTATTTTTGTAGTATAAGATCTACTATCAACAAAGTGATAAGGAATTTTTTGATCATTTTTATTTTTTGTTTAGATATAGACCGTGCATTGTTTCTTCCCGAACAAAAAAATTCTATACGATACGTTCTCGACTCTACTCAGAAGCTAGACGAAGACCAGGATTATGGGACACTTTACAATCCGACATTACGTTCGAATTTGACGATTTATCGTATGCCATCTTTCGCATACGAAGAACCGATACTTTCAAAGGCAGGTAGGTTTTCATCTGTATCGATAATTTATCGTAACAAATTTTTCTTCAAAATAAAGTGCCGTGTTATACTAATTCTAACGAGCTTTACTTTGTAGACGCTAAATCGAAACGAGCGATGGAAATCATTGGTTCCAAATTGCCAATTTACGAGAAAAGTTTTCCAGACCCAATAATAGTTCCGATCACGACTATTCTTAAATGGCAGTCCGAAGTGATTCCACTATATAAGTCTATTATATATAAACTCGAGTCTCGTTGCATCGCTGACACCGGTGAGTAGTGTTATAGTCGATAGTTACCATTAATATTATCATTTTTACGTGAGGTGTGACAAAAATATGTGTTTATCCGTAGGTATTCAGATGGGGAGAATGTTTAAACCGAGCTGGGGACCTGGTTTAACGCTGCTCACATTGAGTACGAAGAAACAAGCGGCCGAAGTACATTTGTGCAGTCCGTTCGAACGGATTTGGTCTTATATGTACGGTCGTCTCCCGGAAGACAGAACTTCCGCCGCGGTCGTTCAACGTATACAAATTTTAGGTGGTGATTGGTCGAACGCAGAATGCAGCCAGAGTTTTGAGGTAATTTTTACATCGAATATTAGGTTTGGATTTATAACAGGGTAACGCGAAGAAGATTTTATAGAAATTTAATGTTCAATGCTTCGTTTTTATTTTTATATACGATATTCAAGAAGAGTATAGAGGGTCATCTAAAGATTCAATTATCACATTGTATAATGGATCAAGAGGGAGACTGTCCGCTGTTCAACGTAGACACTGATATTCACAAGGCGAGAATGGCTTTGCACGCTCATTGCAACTTGGCCGAAGAGTGCGCTGAATCTTGGATGGATCAATCTGCTTCCGATAGTTTTGCTACATATGTTGCTAATGTTTGGAAACTCTGCGTGGCTCTCTGGGGAACTCTGCCCGAGATAAATGTTTGCCCTGGTATATACTATAACAAACACGCGTCGTGGTTGACTAATGGTTATCTAGTTTATTCGTAATCGTCAATATATTTTTTGTTGTTTCAGAAGATTCAGCAGATCATCATATCGTAATAGCTAGACGGGAGGCTATAGGAGAATGGTTAAAAAATGTTATACGATTAACGCTCGATTGGGATGTTACAAATATGACTTACGAAGAACAGATAATGCGTTTGCTATTCGGTGTGTATACGTTGTAAAATGTTGAATAATTATAACTGTCGTCCACAATTTTATTAATTCCTCAATGTTGTCTTTTCCTTTTTCTGTTTTTGCTCTCGATCGAATGGAATTGAAGCCTTCAAGCTAGAGGAAGCTTGTCAGAACGCACAAAAAGTAGGAGATCATTGTCTGGCTCTTCTGATGGCCCAGTTATGCAGTGGTATGCCTACAAAAGCATTAATAAATCAACAAATGGCTCTATGGCAAGATTCCGGGGCTGACGAGAATATATCGAAGGATCGATTAAAAATCTATGCACTGCTGGCGGGCGAACCACTGGTGTCTAGCAAACACGGTCCCATCAACGTCTGCCAGGGTCTCGATTGGAAGAGAGCACTAGCCGTACATCTTTGGTAATATTTCACCATGTTCATTTTCTGTTATCGGACAGTGTATCGCAATTCTCTCAGAATAAAATCTGTGCAACTTACGCGAGTCGTGCTTCATCCTGCGTGACTTTCAGAGCTAGGAACTTATTAACATACATTTAACGTACCGTGTATGTATGCGTTACAGGTATTTTTCATCGCCGGTTGCATCAATAAGAGACGCCTTAGAACTGTACGAGACATCGTTCGACCCAAGCAAAACAACGGATGTTTACGCGACATCACCCACGCCTGAATACAAAGGCGGCGATTACGAGCTCGAACTAAACAATGGGAAACCAATATACGATCTCTGTTTCCATCTCTTAAAATTATATTGTACCGGAAATCACGCGTTAGGAGAACTTTTAAATCCAGCGGCGCACACCGCCGATCCTCTGGATTACAGACTCAGGTAATATTTTGTTACCTCGTACTTTTATTTTTATTCGCTCGATGCACGATACAAAACAAAATTCGAGAAAGAAAAAAACAATTGTTTTCGCAGTTGGCTGATGCAGCAAGTACTGCTAGCTTTGGGTTACTCGCATCTCTCGGAACACGTCGCCGCTTTAACTCATGTCAACTTCGCGACACAGTTGGAAGCCCACGGACTTTGGCACTGGGCGGTGTTCGTAATGTTACATTTGAAAGGAGACGCCCGAAAAAGAAAAACTGGCGTGATGAATTTATTGGAGCGTCATGTTGAAATCGACGACGACGACATTCCCGATTACGAACAGGAACAATTTTCGAAGGAAGAGCAAGAGAAACTTTCCAAAAGAAAGCAAGAACAATGCGTGAGAGAAGAGCGGGAAAAGTTCTTGAAGGAAGAGCTCGGTATACCTTCTATTTGGATTCACCAGGCCAAAGCTGTGAAAAGTTACGTAACCAAAAGGTTGGTACATCGATCATACATTTCAGCGTATCGAACAATTTCATTCAGTAGCTGATTTTTAGAAAAAAAAATGTCTTTTCTTTTACACAGATACGACAAAGCTGCTTCTTATTTCATTCAAGCCGAACAGTGGAATACGGCTCACGAAATTATTATCGAACACTTAGCTGCAGACGCTATAATAAATGGTACGTTATCGTATATTTGAGAAATTTCATTTTTTTATTACTTTATAATAATGGTATAATCATATTTATAACTTTCTTTTTAGAAAATTACAAGTATCTGCGTGACTTGTTGAAACCGTTGAATCCTCCGGAATTTAGCGGCACCATAAGCGGATGGGCTCATCAAGGACAATTACTTTTGGAATATATGGATATAACCATGGACATCGAATCGTTGTTACGCGGTGCTGATCCTCGCGGAATAAGTTATAAATTGGAGTTACTAAAACCACGATTGACGTGTCTCTGTTTGAAGATCAATCAGTTCCCCTGTCCAACTGCTAAGCACAGGTAGATCATTCCTCTCTTCCTTTGTTCTTGACGTTTTTACGGCATAATCAGTCGACGAGTTCTATAAACGACTGTATTTTCCTTTAGACTCTGCCAAGCAGAAATCGCAAAGAGAACGTTGCATCTAGCTAGAAGTTTGCTGCAGTCAAACGAAAATAAATCCAACGTGATACTTCAGCTCGTCTCCCAGCTGCCATTGCCGGAAGATTATGCTCAACAAGAACTACGTCCTATTATCAACATGCGCGTGAACGAAATTATATCGCAAACAGTGTAGATCCCTTTGTGGAAATTCATACGATGGAGGACAAAGTTCTTTTTTAATTAAACGAAATCTCCACGTACCTTTAATTTTGATAATTGTAATAATAACAAGAATGAGAATTGCGATGATAATGATATCGCTGATAATACCGATGGCGATGAAGATGCTAGTATTAATAATAATAATCATGTAGGGGTAAGAATAATAATAGCAATAATAATAACGATACGAAAACTTACAGTATCCAACATACATAAGTCCAGTAATGTAAGAATGTTTGTGTTATATTGTTACGTAAGATATTCTATACCAATTTTTTAAATAAATAAATAAGATCTGGGAAAGAACAAGCGACGACTGCAGGAATCGAAACTCGAATGTTTCAGTGGGTTCCGGGATAGATATTTTATTTTGACAGAAGGTATGTTTAGGAAGTGTCTCGTAAGTACTTTACAAAGATACTTTAAGGAATTTCGATAATCAGCCAAATTAAACGAAAGGATGGCTTTTATTCTCCACGTTGGAGGTTTTTTTTCAATACTAACAAAAAGAAAACACTGTCGTAAGAGATACGGTCCACTATCCGTCGACCACGCGCCGAGACTCCAAGTTTAAGTTTGCGCTGCGGTACACCATTGTACAAAATTCTTCGCGAACCCGTAAAGTCCCTGGGACCCTTAGAATCTAGAAACTTGACTTTGTGCATGAAAATATAGATGCATGTTAAATCAATGATACCGAGCTTGCGCCCCGTTACAGCTACCCCTATTATGGTGCGAGGTCGGGAGTATCTCTCGCTCTCGCTAGCCTAAACGTCTCCCTTCGTCTGTCGCCACTCTTTTGTGGGAAAAGGGCCTCCTCGATGCCGCTACCTCTCTCTACCTTTGCTCGTCGTCTCTTTTCATTTCCATATCTTGCAACCTTCACCTCCTACCTTCTGCCTCCCCACCTTAGCGTCGTCAATCTAAGTCACTCTTCCCCTAGTTCCGTTGAATCCCCAATGCCGCCGTTCCCTCTGTTTGTCGTCGCTACTCTCGTCGTTGCAACGACTACTACCACCATCGTCATCGACGCTGTGTACCACTGCCACCACCATTGCTTTTTGAACCTCACCATCTAGGACCGGCTTTACATAGACGCAAATGGTGCGTCGCCTCTTACCTGGCTCGTTTCAACGAGGAAATAAACTTAACGAAGAGAAATTGTTATATCTATTCGTAGCTTTCCATTGAAACCAAAATTGGACCAAAGAAAGCAAGTTACATTCGTTCGGTTGCAATCTCCTCGTACACGAACGGAACTACGGGACAGAACATGTATATGTAATATGTATACATAGCGTAGGGACTGCCCTTGAACTTATGGGACCCGCCTTGCATTCAGGTGTGAACTGACTAGACGGTAGACGATCGCAGGGGCAAAAATACAAGCACGGCCGGCACTCGTATTTTTGTAACAGACGTGCGATTCAGATGTCGTACACAATTTCTGTACAATACAAGTACATAGTAATTTATCAGCGATACACGAATATTATTTAAATAACAAACAACGATAACTAAGGAAAGCATTTTATCGTGGGTCACGAATGAAACGACGAGTTTAGAGTTACGAGTTTAGGAAATTGTAATTAGAAATGAAAAGCGAACGAACGTAAATTCGAATGTTTGAGTTGAAAGTAACGCGTATCGTATTTATAGAAGGAGGCGGTTAAATTGAAAATTTCATCGGGGCGCTAGTAATTCTCGCGCAGCCTTGCCACCACCATGGCCGCCGCTACCGCCATCACCCACACTACTAACCCAGACCTGGTATTCGTCAACTGCCTACACTCCCATCTCCCCCATCCTTTTAAGGGGTGGTAGAGAGTACATACATGCTCGCACCCGTAGAATAGCGCTATGTATGTACTCCTAAAACGCCCGAATCCCAACCAACGTAGACGTAGTAAGAGTAATGCGCGCGCGCGAACCGCCAACCAGCCGCCTTCGGCTCGCACCGTAAAGCGACTCCGTGCACCATCTTGGCCCGATTTTCATGAGAAAGTACACGGGAAACGGAGACGTCAACTTTCATTTTCTTTCGTTAAAAACCGCGAAGCTTCGTTACGCAACGATCGTTCCGTATTAATCGAAGAGCAACCGTCACGTGTGTTTCACCTACGAGATAGATAACTTAATCCTTCCGGTCGCCTTTTTTCTTCCTTCTCGCCGCCGCGCCGCTGCGTTCCCCTTCTTTGCATTCCCTCCCCTACTTCTCCTACGGCTCTTTCTCTTTCTCCGTTCCCCTTCGGCGTCTCCTTTATCCCACACTCGTCCTTCATTCTTTCGGGTCCTCCGCGCGTTACGGTGTGAACATACTTGAGAGATCGCGCGACAAGGCGGTAAACGGTGGTGCAATAGTGAATCGTACAAGCGAATCGTGTCCGAGGCCTAACTATGGTTTATTTTTGCAAACCACTGCAAGGAATACACGTTCGGTACGAATGAGATACGATAATCGAGAGGAACGCCGTTCTATAGCCGATGCTCGGTAGTGGTAACATCTCTTTTACCCGGTCTAATCGTTCGATCCTTTGGGCGATCGGGGTTGTACATTCGCGTACGCGTTAGAGTTGGCTAGTGATTAACGATTACTTTCGCGATAATCGCTCGCCATTCTCGGTAACAGCACGTTTGTATCGGTAACCGAACGTTCGTACAACTGGATCGCTAAAATTATTCGTTCCGTGTCTCGAGCTCGGTTCCTTTTCAGGGTTACGCGAAAAATTATCAACGACCACTACTCGATAATTGTCGCGAATCAGATTTCTCCTAACACTGGTTACGTACTCGCGCGCAGATCGGGGATCCCGACTCTGAGATGATTCAATCTTTGGACGAGCCCGTGTCATATTCCGAAAACCGTCCGAGGAAGAGGAACGCGCGTTGGAGGTGAATTATTGCGCGTTCCTGACCAACCGTCGTCGTCGTCGTAGACCAGTTGCAACCCCGTCGACGACGCGTTCGAGCAACGCCGCAATAATCGAAAACTAGACTACAAGACACGAGTAGAAAAGTACTCGGGGCCTAGACGAAACTCTAGCTAAACGGAATTGTGCTACGCTCGAGATGGAAGAGAATTTTCATTCGAACGGCCTAAGAGCAGCTAAGACGTTCAGCGTGTAATTCGAGGCTCCTGGCAGGACAAACGAGACGATTAAAGGACGACAGAGAATGATACGCGACAGTTTCGACGTGGCAGCGTACGCAAGTGCTAAAACGAGGTTGTGTTCTTCGCGACGTATTCACGGATAAACAAGATTCCATCGGGACGAGGAAAATTTCACGCACGTAACGCTGATTCGCGTGTTCCGACCGATCGATCGCTGCTACGAGGGAGCAGTGAGACTAATACTTTTCGAGAAGTCGACTCGTGCTAACGAACGCGTACGTTTTCCCTTGAAATATTGGTTCCGTAACGTTTCATCGCTCGCACTTCGGCCGGTCGATCGATAGCGCCGAAATAATGTTTCTGTCCGTTGAAAAACTCTTGCGCTACGGAGTGTTGTTGCTGTTGTGGATCAGATCGAGTTATCAGCAAGAAGAAGACATACCTCATAACGAGTGAGTAGCTTTACCAACTATTGTATTTTCTGTTTCATAGTTTCGATCGGTGACCATCATCGTTTGGCATGCGTTCGTAAAATCGTACGTTGTTTAACCCCCACGTCCCCATTGCGTACCTTTCGATACGCATCGGGTCAGGTTCACACGATAAATTTCATCGCGATATCGTGTGTTCTTCTACTGTAGATTACCATTAGGATTACCATTCAGTAGTGGAACGCTGCTTTCAGCGCGACAATGAAATGGTTAATCTCGATTACATTATCCTCTCCTTTCTTGTTTTTATATTTACCACAGGACATGCATCAAAGGAGAGAAATAAAAGGATTAACGATAAGAAGAAGGTTTTACGGGGTAGTCGGAAGGGCGTGGGTGGGCTAGGAAACGTCTCGGCGGAACTTTGAACTTGCGAGATTTGCAGATTCGAGAAACCATCCCCTCTTTTTTTTTTTTAATTGAACGCGAATCATTGTCATAGTTTCGATTACGCGTGAATTACTTGGAAGACGATTCATTGATTCCTTTAGCGAACAGAATTCGATCCTCGAATAGTTTCGAGCAGCGTAACGAAAGCGTGTGCGGCGTCGTTCGGCTACCAGAGTCGAGAACGAATTGTAATTTTTTCGCCTATAGCGCCCTACGCGAGTGGGAGGGGCATAAAAGGATCGAAGCGTACTACGTGTAAGTACCCTGCGTGCGTACAACTCTCGGTACGTCAGGATACTCGGATATTTCATTATCTCGACGTTTCATTGTCTCGACGTGACTCATACTTATTTAGTAAACGAATCAGACGTTCTTTATTCTACGCAGATACACATCTGCATAGAATGCAAACGAACGTCTGCGTTAATTAGATCCGATTTCTTAAAATAATCGTACGATAGGAAAATTCCGTCATGGACTTTGGTATACACTTTCATAGATAATAGTCCAACTTGCGATTAATTATAAATTTATAATGTAATAGAACTTATAATAGTGAATAGATTCCAAATTTGATGTTTCCTATTACGATAAAATTATTTAATTCGATATTAAATGTAATATGTATACTATGTGTAATGATTAATTATACGTATATTCATCGATATATTGAATTATATAAAAATAATGAAACAGTATCGACAAAACGTCGATATCATGAAGCAGCTTCAACTAAATCAAGAAAATGATGTAGATGTTATAGAAAAATGATTATATTTTATTCGAATATAAGAATTATTGATTAGCAAACGATTACTTGGAGTGATGGTTAAACCTGAAGAAATGAAAATGATTGAATTTTCATTGGCCGTCTCTGTTCTGGATAAATTAACGAAAAGTAAGAGAGAACGGTTTGGACGATTTAGAGGGATGCAAAAGGGGAATGAGAAAAGAACGCAGGCGCGTGTCGCGAGTAACGCGTACGTACATAGTCGATTAACGAGGATCAGGATCGACGTGTGTGCGTACGTAGTTGCGTGCGTGCGCACGTGAACGTGCATGTGTTCACGTAGGACACGCGCGAATGCATCAATGGTGCTGATTTACATGTATACGGTGCCGTGTATAGATGCAGCTGACAGAAACAATCGTTGACGTCAGTTTGAGCGACGTTAAGCACCGTTGGTTGTGTTTTGTCGCGTTTAAACGAGATTAGGCCGAATTAGGACGCGAGTGCTACTCGTCGGCGTTAAATAATACATGGTCAACGTATCTTTAATATAACAACGTAATCCTTAATATATAATTGTAAATTAAATTTAATAATATTCTTTATTTTAGATTAATATTTATATTTATACATATAATGCTTCACAATTCACGTGATGGTTGTCATGGAATCTGACTGAGATATCGTAGGGAGAAATGAAAGTCTGCGCGAGTAAGTGAAATGTGGACAGTGTAGCGTAGACCACACGTCTGACCCAATACAGAGCGCGACTACTTGCCGGACTTAATCTTTCATTCTCCCTGTAAGAGAGAATTCTCATTTGTCCATGTCGACATTCTTTAGCTTCTCTTTAAGATTAAGAACGTACCAATCGGTTTGTAATTACACCATTTTCTCGTATTTCCATATTTTTTTTCATTTCCTTTTAATCTGATTTTGTGTACCGGATAAACACGACGAAAGGACCGGACTTTGCGCGCTTATGTTTTCGATAAATAGCGAATTATGGTACGGTGTATTATCGCATCGAAAAATACATGATAATTTTGGTTTGCAGAGTGAAAAACTGGGCCTTGAAATTTGGCGTGGACCTATGGGAGTTTGGCAAGCAGGTTACGAAAATGGTCGAGATACAGAGGGTAACGTCATTCGATGATTCACGTTTAAGTAGTATACTTGGAACATTGTATTCTTCTATAATAGTTTACACGATTTCTCTGTAATACGAGTAATAATTGAACGTTATATTTCTTGAAATGGGTTAATAAACCTTTGAAATAAGTCGAATGAGTTCTTATATTTTTAGTTCTTCGACTTTATATTCTCTCGCGAGCATTTTCTTTCTATACGGACGTATTTTACAAATTCCAAGTTTCACGAGGAATCGTTGATACTAGGCGAGCTTTATCACCTCGTAGTTACCGTTCTGAATTCAGAAGTACCACGAGCTGGAGGCCGAGGTCGTCAGAAAGGATGGTCTGGTTCTGGTGCGAGAAATGGCCGCGGAAGTGAAGAATATGCTGGATTTTAAGATGAATGCTGTTATGGTAAGAAGTAGGCAGCGGCGACTGTGCGGGTCGCGAGGATCTCGGCAAGAAATGTTGCGTAAAAGAGGCCGAGTCTGTATCTATTTCTATCGCCATTGGTAAAACGTCTTGAAGACGCTTTTTCTAATTGAATGCAAAAATATTTCACTCGTTACCAAATGGAATACAGTAAAGATTGGATAATTGCATGGATCCCGATTTTTACCGTTTTAATTTATAATCTGACGCGATGGTTACAGAGATTGGTGGAGAGCGCGGAACAGGCAGCCGTATCCGCGCCAAGGGACGGAAACGTGTCGCCAAAATATTCGCAACGGATGGAGCTATTTTCCGGAGATGGAAAATCAGGAAACGGCCAGGATACTTTTCTCGCTACCAATAGACACTTCGATCATTTAGCCGTGAACGTTACACTCTCAACGGTTTTGCTTCCTGCTGGAATCAAAGACGCCTGTGAGTATACCAGCAAGAAGAAAGCATCTGTATTTGGTATTAAACATTCGACACGCGAAGGAATCGTAATTTGATTTGTTCACAGATCGCGAAGTAGCTGCCGGGATCCAGTGGAGCGAGTACTTGGATTTATTGTTTGTAAATAATTACGAAAGCGACCCTTCGCTCTCTTGGCAGTACTATGGAGCAACTTCGGGATTTTTACGACGATTCCCCGGTACGTATTGCTGAGTATCGTCTTAAATGGATCGACTGAAAAAAACAGCGTACCCATATTTTTCTATTACTCGTCTCTGCTTACAATCGACATGTTCCATTCGTAGCGATCACTTGGCCACCGATCGAGGACCGAACGGGCTCGAGGAGCTCGAACCGCGTCGTTCGAGATGTGTACGACTTTCGAATTTCGAATTGGTTCGTCGGAGCAGCAAACAGCCCCAAGGATTTAGCCATACTGGTGGACTTGGAGTGCTATGCGTCCGAGAGGAACAAACGGTTGGCAGTAGCCACCGCGAGGACCATTCTCGATACTTTGGGTCCCGACGATTACGTCAACGTTTATCGTTACGGAGACACCGCGGAGGAGATCGTTCAATGCTTCAAAGACAGCTTGGTTCAAGCGTCGCCAGAGAATGTACGAGAATTGAAAATTGCGGCTAGCACGATGAAGCACGAAGAAATGCCGACGAATATATCGGCCGCTCTCGGGACGGCTTTCGAAATTCTTCATAGATACAATAGAACGGGCCAAGGGAGTCAGTGTAACCAGGCGATTATGCTGATCACGGCAGATAATGCTGCCTTGCCCACCGAGGTGATAAAGCGATACAATTGGCCGCATATGCCTGTTCGAATCTTCACCTATCTCATAGGGGGTGACAAGAGCCCCGAATTGCGCAACACCGCCTGCGCGAACAAAGGTGATTCGTCTTACTTTACTTCTCTTTGTAATCCCCGTCTCGATATTTCAAGCGACTATTCATATTTGAAACACTTTACTCTTTGAGTTACTTTTCTTCTTGGGATTTATTATAACGAAAATTACAAGACACGCAACTTTTCTATTTATACCCTCCCTCTTTCATTGCACAGGATTTTACGCGAGGATCACGGATGTAGAAGAAATCAAAAGCAAGGTTTTCGAGTACGTCACAGTTCTGGCTCGACCTATGGTTTTGTATCAACACGACCATCCCATTCATTGGAGTCCAGTTTACGTCGGTGGCAAGGTACGAGACCCTATTGGACGTACGTTTGTTAGATGTTTTAATCAAATATTTCATTTTTCATTTTTCTGTTTAGAGTGGTAGATACGGCAAAGAAAACATCGGACAGCTAATGACGTCGGTTACAGCGCCTATTCTAGATCGTCGAAATTATACGGTAATATCTGTCTGTATAGCAATGCTTTACCACAAAAATTTAACTTGTTCTCAACTATTCTTTTCGTCTGGATCTCTCGTACAGGTGAAAACGGCCAACTTGTTGGGCATAGTTGGTACCGATGTACCGGTAGAAGAAATCGAGAAACTTGTGCCCCCTTACAAGGTACGTGATTCGATTGTAATGATACGGTAATTGGCACAAAGCTTGACAGTACGTTTTTAACTCGTTGTACAACGATGTCGTTAATATATCATCGATCTCGATTTCCTCATTTTGCAGTTAGGTGTCAACGGATATTCCTTTATCGTCGACAACAATGGTCGAGTTCTCTATCATCCTGACCTGCGACCTCTGGTGAGTAACTTTCGAGAAACGCTTCCACGAAGAAATTTACTTCGAAACGACTTCCGTTAGTCTGGACGTTCATTGATATGTTTTTATCGCAGCAGCCAGGAAATGCAGACGTGAGTAAACAAAAAATACGTAGCAAGGATACTATCCTATACTACCCCCCTCATTTGAGTCTCTATTGCTTAATCACCCAACAAACGCAATGAAAACAATTTAAACATTTATTTTATTCATCCGGAACTTCTTACTAAAACGATAAAATAACGTGTACGCAATAGAGGGTTAAAAAATAATGCAAAGCTTTCAACGGTTACGATAAACATTTCTTCTCGGTTCGCAGTACGAAGAAACGTTAAAGCCTACGTATATCAGCGTAGATTTATCGGAAGTTGAACTCGCCGAGTACGACGGTCCGTTGCATCCCTTGAACAATTCCCTTCTTCTAGACGTAAGTACACCAGATGCATGTACACAAAGGTGATCGAATTGTTTTTTACATCTTTCTCTCTTTCTTCCAGTTGAGGCACGATATGATCGATCAGAAAGAGGGGGAGACCGATTTCGCGATAAAAATTCACTATGACGATATGGTGAGTAAAGAAAATTCCGCAACCTTACCCAATCTAACAATCTAAGTATCATTAACGTGATAATATTTTACAGAGAAGAGTTACCATCAGGCGGCACAATTATTTTTATAAGCCAATCGAAGGAACGCCCTTTTCGCTGGGTTTAGCGTTGCCCGAGGGTTACGGCATGTTCGAGCTATTGGCCGAACACGAAATGAAACATTCAATAATAACTGGTAAGTCGCATTTTTATCGAAAAACGAAACATTACTATCTCAGACGAATCTTTTATACGCTTTCCATTTTTGTCTAGTGACCGACTACTTTAACGGAAGCAATTGGAAAGTGCATCCAGATTGGGTGTACTGCGAATATAATTCGGCTTCCGATAAGTGGTTCTCCTCCCCGGAGGAACGCGTTCTGCATTTCTTGGCACGAACGCGTAGACCGGGGTGGAAGTGGATGTCTTTGAGACCAAAGAGTCCAAGCTCGCATCATAAACAAGCGAGCAAGCCCGACAAAGATTCTTATTACTGTAAGTATAACCCACGATATCGCGATATTACCGATAATACGATTAAAAACTGCAACGATCGATCGAATAACGAAACCGACGAATTTCAGGCGACAAAAGATTAGTGCAATCTCTAGTGTTGGATGCCATGGTCACCGGTGATTTCGACAAAAGAGGTGCGATGCACAAAGAGGAGAATCAAAGGTAAGCGGCACGTAAGCGAAGCTCGCGGATGCATGTCCTTCACGCGTGGACACTTATAGTGGAGTCATCGACAACGCACTGCAACGCACAAGCACGCGGTTTTTTCTCGCAGCACCGATTATCGAATAACGTATCTCTTATCCGATATCGTAAAACCGTTGCCTTTACTTTTTCCTTGCCGTTGTCTCGCATAGTCGTGTCGCAAACGATAATCGATCGCTGGCAACTAAAACAACTGGCCCAATATCGACAAGGGAAACAAGAGTAACACGATCGCGCAGAGCGAACCAGACGAAGATAAAACAACGTACAGAGGAATCGAGAAACCAGGAACGAAAGAAGATACAAGCCGTCGAAGAATCGCACGTTTTCAAATGTTCTAGATCTAGATTTCTCGATACACGATATATACAATATCGTACATGATAACTCCTACTTATAGAAAACCGAATCGATGCCCCACTTACCATATGTATATAAGAATGCGACATTGCTGCAGATCCAGCCTTTTATTTATTTATATTTATACCTCGGAAGTAAACTGTATTAAGTTCAAATTATGGAAATTGTAGATAAACAAGTCGACTCGATTCGTTGATATAACATTTTTTTGTCGCTACTCGAAATATTATATTTTCAAATTGAGGATCTAACATAGCTTGCCTCCGAGTTGTATTCGGGTAAGTATTTGTATGATTTCGGTCAAATCGATCGTACAAGAAGTTTATAATCTTACGTGTAGCCTACCAGTGCCATAAGGTTCCTCACTGCTGTTTCAGGGTGCTTCTTTTGTAGCGTTTTCAAATGCATTAAAAAAGTGCACTGGTGTTCTCGTTGAAACGCGACACGCACTATGCGCAACGGCTAATCTCTTTCATTTACAATGTTACCTTTTATTGCATATTTTTATTACATTTTATATTGTGTGTCTCCACCGCTAGCCCTATTGCCATACTGATGGCTCTACTGCACAGGTAATCCATTATGCACAATTATTTGTATAAGCGCACTCGTCGATATTTTGCACGGTGATTCCTTTCAAATTATCGCTTTCACTGTACGTCTCACGAAAACCCTAACAAATTATTCCTCCCCCTCCGACAGCCCTTTTCGACTCTGTTTCTTCTCCCCTTGATTAACAACCGTCGATAATAAAATCGATACATACGTATAACGGATCATTCTACGCCAAATGAATCAATTTATTCCAATTTAAACACCTTTTAATTCACGATTACCAATTCAAAATAAATGAAATTAAATGAAATGAAACCAGAGTTATTAAGTTCAAAATGGTTCGACATGTTATAGTCAGAGATCGCTTGCGTTCTTTCGCGATTGTTTCGCCTCGTTTCTCGTCGCGTCGACAGTAATTATCGCCCGTGTAATCGATGTTAAATTTTACAGTCAAGGAAAAAGCAGATTCGGTCTCAGCCGGACATTCATCGCGACGAGGAGCGGCCTTTTTCGTTGGCACGAGCATCAACAAGCCAGCAATTTGAAGGAAAGCAACGACGAACCGTACGATCTATTCATATAGATATATGAAAATTCTAATGACTGTATCGAAACATTTATCCGCGACTCTATTCATTGAAAATCGTGTTATTTACGCAGGCCCTTTGCTCAGAAGTATGCGAGAGCTATGGATTCGTCTTGGTATAAACGCGCGGTGGATCAGCACTCGATAGAACCGGAAAGTTTTGTTTTCAGCGTTCCTTTCGATGCAGGTACGTACCACGCGACAATTTATCCGTGTAGACAAGAATTTGAAAGATCTCTCCTGGTTCGCCAAATTTGTACTATGTCTCTGCCTGGTCAGATACTTCAAATACTATAAACAGTAGACGATACTATCGCATTCGCAATAATAATGTTCGTATTGCCAGCAGCTGACAACCCCAACCCTTTAGTTACCGCTACGCACGCTGTATTCATTGGAAAAGGACACAAAGCACCAGCCGCGGTCGTTGGTTTTCAGTTTCAACACTCCTCGTTGGCATCCCACTTCGTTAACATGACTTCTACGGTATCGTATGTCGATCGTCGACTGTTCATTATCCTTATGTTCCTTTTTGAGTTACTAACAAGTATTCCGAAAATGATATAATAGACTTGTGACGAGAAAATCATTGTATCGCAAGTCCCTTGCATCATCTTCCAAATATCTGGGAAAAATTAATAAAATTTCACCGTTGTGTCTAAGAAGTTACACTTCCAATGCGCGGCATTCTACGCACCAATTTTTTTTTTTTTTAATCATTTCGAAACAACGAACGATACTCGCCCTACACTAGCCAGTTGTCGTTTCCTTTATTTATGTTTTGTTTATTTTTGTAGTGCAGTGGCATGAATTGTAAAAAGAATTGCGCTTCCGAAGAACTGGACTGTTATATTCTGGACAGTAATGGATTTATCATCATCAGCGAGCGTCACGAGCATACTGGAAAATTTTTTGGTGAAATCGACGGCACCATAATGGATTCCCTGGTTCAAGACAGAATCTACAGGTACTTCTCGCCTCATTAATTTATATTCTACGAGTAATAATTTGAGGTATCAGAGCTGGAGATACAGAACTGTCCTGTTCTGTTGTTTATTTAAGTGCTTAATCTATGTTATTGTACGTTATAAATGCATAAAATCAGAACACCAGTTATTCGGGTTTCAGAAAGGTAACTGTGACCGACTACCAAGGTACGTGCAGTCCGCAGGAATCGCATCAATCTGCAGCGCCAAGAATAGTTCCTGAATCATTCGGGGCGGTCATCGGCATACTTGGAAATCTACTCTGGAATATAGCGTTCAGTTTCAATTTACAAAATTTGCAACAAGCGACTTACGCGCTCGCTGGCGAACCTATACGAACCGCGGACGGTAAGGAACATTTAAAAAATGTTTAATGACGTTACAAGAAAAACACGCTGACTCGCTTGACCCATACTTTCAGATGATTTGATTTCCACCGACACTGTCGAAGAAGCACACGAGTTCGAACCGATCGGGGGTGGAGATTCGACCGACGAACCGTCTCTGGACGAAAACGAAGCTTTTCCCAGGATTCCAGCGGTTGCTGCCGCCTCTCCCGCTTCTCCTGGGACTACACGCGCTACATCTGCCTATTATCCACAAAGGAAACTGAGAACCTGCGAAAAGAAGACGGATCTTTACATTCTGCAACCGGAGAGGCTCAACACCAGCGGACAGAGCAATCCCTTGAAGGGAAAATTGACCAACTGTCACGTGACTGGATGCGAAAGGTATGTATGTAGCTTGCGTACAACTTCTAGGCTTTATCAAACTATTAGAGACGCCAAGCAGAATAATATCAATATAACGGACGTTAATCCTAATCGCAGACCCTTCAGCGTCCAGAAGATCCATCACACGAATTTGATCCTGTTGGTGGTGGACACGTTGTGTCCATGCGGAAGCAAACAATTGAGCATCGAACCTATAGAGGCTCTCACCGAGCCAGGAGCTTGCACCGCGAGGAGAGAACGTCTGTATCGTCGAAGACCGCCGAAATGCATAAACTATCATCCGGAGGAAATGGAGATCAAGCTTTGCGGCGGCGCGAGCCGCCCTTGGAATTTCTCCTTCTCGTTGTTCGTCGCGATTACCTCCAGCGTTCTGACGACGCGACTCGCGTGACTTCGCTCCAATTAACTTGTACACACATTCGCAAATTATCTTTTTGAAATGAATTTAGCGTTGTCGTTTCTATGAAACAGTTATAAGAAAAAAATGGTATACTAGTTGATCGGTTTAATATACCTGTATTTGACGAATACGAGAGAATGGAGGTGCGAGTGGTTGGGTGTGTGCGTGCGCGTGCACGCTAGAAAAAAAAGAGAGAGAGAAAGACAAAGTATACGCGTAATATATGCCCGGGTGTGCGCGAACATTCCATTTCTATGCGTTTGATATGCGTGATGCATGGCGTATACGCCAAAGACGGGCAGTATTTATTATATTTTGCGACTATTTTTGTAACGATCCCTCGCAACTGTCAAATTGATCGATAGTCGTTCGCTACATTTGCAATCTGCATTCATGGATCGGTAATTCGTAATACATCAAAGCCAATAGTATCCGATTATTCACTGTTCAGGTTCGATCGATAGTCGCGATTACCGATTACTCGTTAACCATAATCATGGATTACACTTTGCCCTACGCTGGTACAATGGGCTCTACGCAAATATTCGCGTACACGCGTGCACGGTCGCGTCTACGCGGGCACGCGCGTGCATGCACGCAGACGTGTACATATACAAATACATATAATATTAATGTTGATCTATGATTACATATCTCATTATAAATTCTGTTGCGAGAAACTTGTGAATATTTCCTAATCGTATTACGTCGTATCTGATTCCTAACGACTAACGGAAGGTAACGACGAGACTGCGTACTCGCGATACAGAGCGAAAAGTGGAAACGATGTACATAAATGTATATCGAACGCTGACTATCTCGGCCGAGCCGAGGTAATCGGTTGTCCTTTTCGTCCAGACGTTGCGTCGAATCAAACCAAGCATCGTAAACGTTTCCAAAACGGTCGATATATCGGTTCGTAATTTCGTTGTTTCTATAGCTGTACTTTTTCGGGTAACTTTTGGATTGAACAAAAAGTCTGTCGTTTTAGAAGTAATCTGAACTGACATCAAACGACAATAAACACAACCGATATTCACACTTTTTACTCTTATAGGTAATCTGAATAAATTAGTCGTTTATTTGGTAGCGAGAACCGGTAGTATTAAAGGCTTTTCGAAGAACTTGAAAAAAAGTTCAGTCTTTGCTGCCAGATCACTAATTAAGCGTTAAGTGATAGTTTATATATCCGTGCGTGAAATTAAAATAGAACGTAAGCGCATTACGCTTAATAAACGCCACAGAAAAATCAATGGCGTCTATGTATAGAAGTCGCTATAGCAAATTTTGTGATTTTCCGATAAACCACTCTTGAAATACAAAGCGAAACAGAGGCCACATACGTACATATAGAATTTTGTAATCGATTTTTTTGCATTTTTGGACTCAGGACACCCCGAAGCTTTGAAAAATGCATAAAAAAAAAAAACGAGGGAGGATGTAACTTTGACCGATAACGGTAACTTCACCTCTATTATATTCAAAGAAAAACCAAGACTTTTTGTCCAACCCAATAGCCTTATGGTTTAACGACGAATAGATTATAAATTGTACGTTCGCACGTGCAGACATATGTACGATGGACCGTGAGTTTGGCTGATTTTGCCTGTGTCGCTCCATCTACGTGCACGTGGATAATGGTACGCGTTAAAGTTCTGCTACGTGTTAAATACGAAACCCACGTAATACAGAAATGGCCTCATTACAAAAGCGATAAGCTTACGAAGCGATGCAACAAATTCACTTTCGAAGAGTTTGCGCTTTAAAATACAGTCGACCCTGCAACACTGTGGTAAATTGAATATATGAAAAAGCGTTTGAACGAGACTTTGAAAATACTGCAAAGATACGTGAAACGAAAAATTAGAAGTTTACGAAACCCCAAATTATCGTGTTCTTGAAGAACTGTGGCAATTCTTCTTACACCGTGTTACGAGAGAGTTGGCTGTAACGACGAGCTCGCGAATGTATAGTACCATTAAAATTATGGAAAATATCCTTCGTTCTTCTAAATTTTAAATTGTTATTGTATCGTACACCGACTTTGAAATAACTCGCCATACGCTACTTTAAATAATTTGTCAACGAATAAGGATGAAAAATCTCCCTTAACAGCGAGTGTACAATGTACATCCGTGTACAGAATGGACGAGTTATTTCGAAGCCAGTGTATCACTGTTAGGATATAGAGTGACTTAAAGAATTCGAAGGAGGTTCGATCGAAGCGGGTCCGGTTCACAGTACAGATTCGTCAAGTTTGATGGGGAATATAGTACGAACCTTAACGATTTTTAGTTTTACGATCAGGCTGCACTACTACTTTGGCCATAGAATGATAAAACGTATCGCGCATTTCATCGAATCGAACATTTTGCTTCCAAGTATTAGGCCTAGCCAATATGTAAACCCCGTTAACCCCTTCATGGCCGTATCATTTTCGACATACCTCTATTTCAAACATTCCTTACGACAACTACACTGGTGTTTTTCATGAATTATTCGTTGATGTCGTTATACTTTTAATTATAAATATAAATCGAGTCTTTGAACAAGATACTTTAACGCTTCAGCTATCTATTACAGCTATCTTCTTCAGGGGTAAAATAATGCGTTTATGTCGATAGCGAAACGTCAGAGTATCCTGTTCGAAAGACACTCGAGTTATGCTTGTAATCATATCAAATGAAATACTTCAATACGATTTTTAAAACAGTCGTTATTCTGCCCAAGACTGACAACCAGTCCCCGCTACGAGTCGTATTCGTAGTTTAATTAATTAATATTTACCACATCCTCCGCAAAAGGGTTAATCGTATCTTTTTTGTATCTCACACGATTATCGAACATATCGTCGAAACAATATCGTACAACGTTCTACGATTCGAATTCTAAATTGCTGTCTTCAGCTCTACGAAAAAAAAGGAAACATATCTATTTTACAATGCGGACAAGTCGAAGAACGATAAACCAAAGAATCGATGGAACATTGCGCGAAGCTTGGAGCAACGAAATACCGAATAGGAAGCAAAGTGTAACGTAATATCGATTTCTTTTTATTGCGAATAAGAAAACGTATAACGTAATACCTTTACTAAAGAAATCAATTATAGTTCACAAAGATATTACTCGATACCGCGTGTGGTCAGTGACGAACAACGATGTACGGTTGTAAGTACGATTAAAGAAATTGTGTAATGGATAATGTATAGAGTTTGTACACGAGCGATAGCCATTTCTTTATTTCAAACTTCAAAGTACGTGCAAATATTATTTGGCGAAATGTTACGTGTCGTTCGAAAGAGAATTTACAAATTGGTACATGATTAAAAAAGTGGCAATCTCGACGTCAAAGGCATCGCTCACTCTGTTTGAATTCGATGGAAAACGATTGAATCAGTTTATTCGCGAACATCAGAGCGAAGCGTGTATTTCAAGTCGAAATTGCCATTTTGGTCAATTTCGAGCCGTCCTTTCAGGCATAGCACCTCTGTAAACATCGCGGATTATCGTTCCGTTATGCTCAATGTCTTACTTTCGATATTACTGACTAACGAAAGAAAAGAAACGTATGATACACTCATCATATGACACTTCGTTCGAAACGACCTGCTGAACACATGTTGGCCAAGTTTATCGGATACCTCAGTATTGGGCAAAATGACAAGAAACTTATCAAACACGTTTGTTTCGTTTCCTCTTTCGGACATTTTTCCGAAGAAGGACACGAGACAAAGTTCTGGATACACCCGTTTTTGTCCAACGCTGCTCACCCTGTACGTTACAACACGCATACACGTTGATCCTCTCTAACGTACCCGTGCGTATCGTAAAACGTCGCAGGCGTCGTAAAAATTTAAGATGCTGCGTAGCCTAAGGCAGACGCTAACGCGAAATATAAGAAACGAATCGAATTAAACTAAAGGTTATAATATTCTATTACTATGCATCTCGACGTTTGTTTACCTAATACAATAATTAGTATACCGTTTATGAATCTGCGATTTAAGGCTGCAACGCTTCGATCGCCGCAGTCAACGCGGTGAAAGTTAAAACGCGAAGAGGCTATCGAAACCAATAATGAAAAAAAAAAGAAAAAAAAAAAAAGAAATAATTTGACTCGATGAAAACTAAGATTTACGAAAGATTTTAGGTAAGAGAACGTCTTTTCGAAGAAGAGCACTTCTAGGTGCTGTCATGTCTTCCATTATTTGTATATCGATAATAAAAGTCGATTGTAAACGTAAAACACGCACCAGTATGCGCACACGTGTATGCATACGCATACGCGTATAGGTGTACACGTACCAAGTATGTTCCTTAGGTACGTGTACGCGTATATGACTGTTAGGTTATTAAACACTTAAAATTATGTAACTGAAATACGGCATAATATTATATAATAAAATCTAAATGCAACAATATAACGCGTTCTCCCCTTCTTGAAAGACGCCATTGGACATCATCTTAAAAGGAATAGGAATCTTTGGCCTTCGAACATTATGCTTATACACGGGGTTTCCACAAAGACTTTTTCGTGTAGTTTATTGGTTCTTTTCCCTTTATAAATTGCACCATGTTTTAATTCACAAACGGAAGTAAATTTTAATCCTATTATTAGCGCCACATAACCAACACCGTACACCAATATTGGATATATTTACATGTACTACTTTTTGTTTTTTATATGTATACATAGCTTTCCAGGAAACAGTTAAAACCAATATAAAATGATATAGTATAAAAACTTATAAAATAAATATAAAATATTCATGGTTCTTGTGCAGGGACTCCCGCGTAACCTTGTATATACTGTAAAAACCTTGGTCCCAACATTTTAACAGACCTAGAATATAAAATAATACCGTTGTAACGTAAACTAAAATGTTAAATAAAAAGTTTAACAACCGTGAAATAATGTACCATAAAGTTAGGTTTGGATAATAAATTTTCATGTACAGTATTTGAAGCACGAGTGGTTTGGCGATCCACACTTCGAAAAGTTTGTTTGCTATCGCAACGCCAATCAGTTTAGCGCAACGTTCCGCGTTGAGTCTATTCGGGGATTTGTCTTTCTCCTTGTCCCCGTATGTCTGCGGATAAAATTATATTGAAAACTTAGAATATATTTTATTATCGGTGAAATTCACCTCTCCAGATTTTTCTGTGTACGATGCCATCAAGAAATTAGTGTGTACCGCTCCTGGGCATACAATTGTAACCGGTATATTTTGACCCAGTTTTTCATACCAAAAGCTGTTGAAATATCCCTGTTAAAAATATGTATACATTATAAATAATTGTAAGAGAAAAGTAAAATTTTCAATATTAATATAATTGACCTGCAATGCAAATTTAGATCCCGAATATGACCCAGAAAACGGCATTGCCACGACGCCGCCGAGGCTCGAAGTAACTACGATGTGGCCTGTACCCATCTGGGTAAAGTATTTTACCACCACTCTAGTTAAGGCTACTTGCGCGAACACGTTTAACTCGAACATGCCTTTGTCGACGGAAATATCGATTTGCTCCCAACGTCCAAGTTGATAACGACCCGCATTGTTTACAAGTATGTCCAGCTAGAATTAGAATTCAAATTAAAATCCAATTGTAAATTAGCGTGATGCACATATGTAAAGTATAGGTACCCTGTTGAATTTCTCAATGACCCGATTAAATGCTGCTTCATGACTATTTATATCACAAACATCCATAGGAAGTACTTCAACATCCAAATCGTTCAGTTTCTTGTTTCCTGAGGATAAATAAACAGGGCTTCATGAAATTTATGTATGCAACAATAACGATAAATAGATACAATTACAATGAAAATTATTCACTTTGAAGGCAGCTGGCCTTTACTCTATCTAGTTCTTCTTTCCTTCGAGCAGATAGAACTAATTTACAGCCAACATCTGCTAAGATGTAAGCAAGATTTTCTCCGATTCCACTAGATGCTCCTGTTATCCATACTACTTTCCCTTTCAAAGAGCCTGCAAAAACAGCAAAGAAACATTAAAATATTTATGTATACATAATCATGTAAACATACTGTTACCATACTCACGTATACGTTTTCCAAATAAATTGTGGAAAGCAAGATTTATATCGCAATTTAAGAACCAAGGACATATCAGGTAGAACAGGTGATAAGCCACTATGATTAATAAGATTACTAAGAGAATGATAGATAAAAGATCCATTTTTTTAAATGTTGCGTCCGACAAATTAACCTAAAAGCATGTAAAAACAATGTTATTCCAAATGTGTACCTTTTACTTGACGAATATTAACACTTTTAAACCATGTAGATTATCTTATATCATTTGTACTCACATCCACGTTTATGTTATATGATTGTATATAGTGTATGTTGCATTTGTGTCCTTGTTATTGCAATAAAAAATAAAAGGAAGTAAAGGAAACTGTGCCATGGAAAAAACTTCAGATGGTATAGTAAGTTCTATATGACAGCAGGACCACAGTCTACATTCAGCCAGATTATATTTTCTGATCACTTTTCTTTCTTTTTCACCTTGATCACAGTTATGTAGATTTGCATAAATATAATCATCCAGGATTTTTAATATCCCATGGATTTATCTTCGACTCCGAATTATTTGTTTTGACATCACTCTTCCAAAGTACCCTGCACAGTATCGCTATTTCACTTGTTTGCGACATTAGAATAGAACTTGTATATACTTATTTAGTCGAAATACACAAAAGTATTTGTGATTGCAACAAAATTTTTTTCGAAATCAGTTAAAAAACTACGAAACGTGACTGCATCTAATAAGAAACAACACTCCATAAAGTTTAGACAGACTTAAAAAAGAAGACAGTCTGTAGCAGTGTAGTAGTATGTCTGTTACATAATATGTTTATACTAGGAGAACCTTATCGCTTTCCTAGATGCGAGAGTGGAATGAAATACCACTTGCTATACTTGCCACCTCTAGATAAAAATGTCGAATAACAAATAAAAGAGAAATTACTCTTTATAGAGTTGGAATAATAAAAGGAGGCATTATTTTTAATTCTGGCTCTGTGAAAAGAAGAGAAAGGTAGGAGAATATTTGTCCTTATTTTTTTTAACATATGGCGAAGATAAACATATTAATACTTTATTATATACGTATTGAATACTTAAACCAAAAGTTAACATTTTAATCAAGTAGTTCATTTTTTTTTTATTATTATTATTACTTCAGGAAAGCCACCGCTCACTAAGCCGCTCAGTGAGCGGAATTTTGTACCAGTAGCGCCATCGGTGGGAAAACGCCCAAGTTTGTAGTGAAAATAGTTCCCACTGCGGCTGCTAGATGACACACCCAACTATTATTATTGTAGCCATCTACCGGTAGAGAGGTTGAACTAATTTTCAGAGTTTGATCAGCGCCTCTATCGGGAAAACGCCCAAGTTTGTCGCCGATTAGTTCCACCTCGCAATGTTAGATGGCGCCACTGACTTACCACCGATGCTAGCACCATCTAGCGTCGACGGTGAGAACTATTTCTCGACAAACTTGGGCGTTTTCCCGATAGAGGCGCTGACCAAACTCCAAAAATTAGTTCGGCCTCTTCGACGATAGATGGCGAGGACAATTATAGCTGATGGCGACATCTAGCAGTATCAGTAGGAACTATTTTCACTACAAACTTGAGCGTTTTCCCACCGATGACGCCACTGAAACCAAACCTATAAATATATATATATATAAACCACTCACCTATACTAGTACAATACCCACTAATACTGAATAATACATACCACTGATATAGTTCGATGAGAAAATGAATATACTTCAATTTCATGAAATTAATCGGATTTTGTATGTTTAAAAGTTCGATTATTTTTTGAAAATTGATTCCATTTGGAGTAGATAACCCTTTTTTCATCTGTATATGATTTACATTCCTACAATTCCTAGTAATGTTACATTCTCTACGTTTATCGTGTATGTATTCACAAAGATTCGTTCGATGCATCATACTAAGAATCTTGTAGACATTATAAGGGAATATAGGATAATAATACATACACATTGATGATTATTCGTTGATGTATTAAATTAGTTTTTAATGTAGGACCGATTATTATTATTCCAGTGTCATAGCATTTAAGTTTATATCTTCCGTCATAAACTAACCGTTGATTCGACACGTCACGGTTACAACAAATGAAATGTATCAAAGGATTTGTTGCGCTGTTAAACATATGTAAACGTCGAGCGTTTTAGTTCCAGCAACGGTAAGATTTTTCTTTCGATATTTAAGTAACTCAACGTTAACTCCATATTTTTAAATTCTTCATTCTTGCAGGTTAAGCGCATTTTGTGACATGTATGGTAACACCATACGATAAACGTAAAATAAATTTCAAATAAATCATTTTTGAGAAGCAGTACGTTGATCTTTTTACAATGAAGATCAACATTAATTCCAACCAAAAATTCATTTTGTAGTTGAGAAGCTATAAAGTGTTATCGATGTACATATAATAAGGTGCCTTATTTGCTACTTAGCATAGGAACAAGTTAATTTGAACTATTTAAAATGGATGTCAGCGGGTTGTTTAGAGCCAGCGTGAAGACAATAAGTCTTCGTAACAAGGATTTAGGGATTGCAAGTAATGCACAATTAAAAAAGGCCAGAAGTAAAAGTCCTTTCTTTGTAAAAGCACAAGGGGTCGTAGTACAAATTTCCAGGTTGCGCGAATTTTTGTTAGAAAATCGCAAAGCATACTTAAACTTTTCAAGCCATTTATCCTATATGCCTAGTATGACCGACGTCGATCGAGATGAAATAGATATCGGAGCGCAAAAAATAATGACCACTTGTTCCCAATTGATCAAGGAATTGCGTAGAGAAATCGCAGATTCCAAAGTTTCTCCACAGAATTTAGAACATAGGGAAATTATGTTGCTGTTAATAGAGGAGTACCTGAAAAATGTTTGTAAAATTTACTCCGAACAGAAAGCAATGCGCGTGAAAAGAGCGATGGAGATGAGAAAAATAGCTAGGTTGGAATTAGAAACGAAGCCCGTGAAACGATTAGAAATTGGTACGAAAGAATCGAGTTTGAATGCAAATGAGAAGTTGGAAGAGAAAGAAAATAAGAATGATTCCAATGACTCCAGTCCTATGAAAATACAAGAAATAAACGGAGACGTTAATTCGTTGATGTACGAAGAGGAATTATCGCCCGAAGATATACAGCTGTTCGAAGCGGAAAACGAGCATTTGTACAATGAACTTAACACAATCACGGAAGAAGTGAAGCAAATAGAGAGTAAAGTGGTACACATAGCTGAACTTCAGGAGATATTTACTGAAAAAGTGTTGGATCAAGATAAAGATTTAGATCGTTTAATGACGACAGTGGTGGGATCGACGGAAAACGTAAACGAAGCTAACGAACAAATTAGACAAGCGATTCAACGGAATGCAGGTCTCAGAGTATGGCTCCTTTTCTTTGTTTTAGTTATGTCGTTTTCTCTTTTGTTTCTCGATTGGTACAATCCTTGAAACAAACAAGTATTTTAGTAATTTGATTCAACCACTTGTACATACACTCAAAGAATGTTGTACATTATTGTAAATACTAATGTCGTTAGTTTTGAAATGATAATGAATAAAACTTTGCCAAAATATGTCACTGTATTTTATCCCCAAATCATTTTACATAATAGCTACATCTTACATAGTAAAATTTGTAGTATATGTATATATTTACTTATATACACACATTCGCACATGTGCACTTGTCTCGTACATTTCTGTCGTTTCGTTAATATTTGGTTTAACAGAAAAATCATTCTGTAAATTAATCGCGGAAAATGAAAACGTTTATAAGATACACTCTCTGGTATCTTCTTAATTAAAAATCGTTAATTCTATCTTAATTCTCAAGTATTTATAGGCAACTTGCTTCATATTTGTTTTCCATTTTACTGAACATATATCCGCTGTATATATTTGTAAAGGATGATTTTTATAAATTTTATTTAAAAACCGGGATATATATCCAGTACGTAAAAAATGTAATGCGAATAGATTTAATGACCTGTTACTACGATTTCAAGTAAAAAAATATTTACAGGATATACCACCCACTATCAGCTTTGATTTACAGAATTCACTCGATATTTTCTATGTAGATTCGACTAAGAATAATTTGACGATTTGGTTAGGTTACAGCAAAACTTTCGATCAATGCCAGCAAGCCCCGATGAAGATAACATCTAAAGTGAAAAGGATTTTCCGTACCAAATGCTTGCTTAATAAAATTGCAGAACAGAAGACATAATCGTTTTTGGCAGCTGACAATAGCTATATTGTTATACCTTTAAGCATATTTCGATCGGAAGGTTGCTCTTAAAATGTACGAATTCCGGTACAATTAAATGCGTTATTTGATTATCATGTATGCGCCTCTACGAAAAAGAAAAATACGAATTATTTACACTATTTATGAAAATGAGTTTTTTCTAATCGTATTACATTTGCTTGCTATTCGGTATACGCTAAACACAATCGAATGGAATAAGTAATAATCATTTGCGTAAATTACGGTCGGGAATCGTGAAATGCTTTTTTTTTTTTAAATTACATATCGTTCTTTATAAAAGTGTCTTCCGATTTAGAATTCGATTTATACAAAATGTTACAAAATCCTAACACTACGACTTTATGATAAGCAATATCATATATAATAAGCATACTGGAGTTCTGTATAACGAGTAGTCACAAGAAAGAGAAACCTTTACACCATATATAAAATATGTTTCGATATTTTCGATCGTAGATCAATTTCACATTCATTTCGACGGAAGAAACATTCTAAATTTAATTCTTATCAGACATCGAACGAAAAACAGATTTCCAAAATTGTGGGTGAATATCAAAGCAATATCTTGAAATTCTAGTATTTTGTAATCGGGTAAAAAGTTTAAACAAATAATCGTGTCTTAGTATTCGATAATAGAAATAATATTCCAGTGTGTCCGGAGTAATACAATACTAATAAAAACATTATAATCTACAAAAGCAGGATCTCACCTGCTCTTGAACTTAGATGTGTAGTCTCTGGATAGTTAAACGTACCTAATTTTGTATATAATTATATTTATAACGAAGGTGAGAATCGTGTTGACAAAATTTCCCTTCTATCAAACATTGAATAACCCATGTTGTGGAAAGCAACGGAATCTGTAGTTCGTTAGCTTTCCCAATTGCCCAAGATGGACACGATGCGTTCGTCAGAACTACCGTCCCTTCTACAAAACTTTCCATTGCATCTGAAAGTTAAAACATTTAGTTAGCAAGTGGGTTTAATTTCATACCGTCGGTTGCAAAATTTTTCTTATAAATTTTTCCTATACCGTACCTGGCTTATCCACTAATAAGACAACAGCACCTGCGTTTTCACAAATTTGACGCCAAAGAATAGTGAATTGCTTCTCGCACTCTAGAACTGGAATTATTACAACGACGTGCTTCAATGGTTTATCGTCGGATCTTTGGAACATGTCAACGTATGATTTTTTATCTAAACTCCAACCCACGGGTAATTCGTCTTCAGCAGGATTCACGATTTTACCCTGTAAAGAAGATGTAGAAAATTACATGATTTTATCGTATAACATATAGAACAGATTCAATTGGAATCTTGACTTACCTCTTGACAGCACCTTATAATCCAATTATGATTATACGCGGGTATACCAACAGACAGACATAACAAAGTCTTCGCGGTTGTGTTTGGCACGTTTGTTATTAATTTTGTACTTTTATACTCGTCTTGTGGAATTTCGTTAAAATCCGTGTAAACTTTTCCACCGCCAGCTATTATTTGCGTGTTCAATCTGTCCCTGACGAAAGGCTTTTTCGTCCACTCCTCTTCGTACTCCGTTTCTGGATCTGAATTACAATCTTTGCTATCGGCTTGGTATCGATCGATAGTTTCCAACGATGCACAGGTCAGAATAAAGGACATGCCTTTGAACAGATTTGAATCTGTGCTCGGTATAGGACCCAAAGTCGCGATAGTTTCTTCGTCTTCCACTTTTTTCTTACTTCTTGACTTGCTTTTAATGCGACTCTGGGGTCCTTTTACGATTTGTTCGTACGGAGTTCCGATTATCTCAGGCTGCACACCGATAGAAGATGTTTCCTCTTTTATGGAAACGTTCGAATCAGTGGAAATACCGTCGCTTTCGAAGGATCCTTTTATTTCCTTAGGTATAGAAGCTACACCGGAAACAGACGGTTCCGTTACAGTTTTAGGCGTGATCGTTAATCTGGACTTGGGCGTCGAAAAACTAGGGGTAGCAATTCGCCTAGAACGCCTTTTACCATCAACCATATTGTCTAAGGTTACTTGTCCCAAATGCTTCGGCGTGGATGGAAGACTTTTACTTTCTGAATTTAGTTCCTCTTTTAATACTTGAGCTTGATCAGAAGACAAGAAAATGTCTTTAATTTGAACTCGAACTTTGTCCCCTTCGTCCATTTCTACTACGTAATATACTTCGTTATTTACAGTTTGGGAGTCAACAATTATACCACACGAACCATAATCGTCATTTTTAGTTGTAGCATATACAGAGAAACCTTCTTTTAAAACTTTAGGTATCGTTATAATGAAGTCTTCTATAAGTACTTTACTTTTTCCGTCGTAAAAATTCACTTTATACTTTGTTTTTACTTTATCGATAACGGTGCCAGGGTAATAATTATTGTCGGACCATTTAGCAAAGACTTCTTTGCCGATTAAGTCATCCGTTACCACTTGTAAAGGCGTTTTTATCGAAACGTCTACAGAGCTCAGAGCATTGTCGACGTGCTCTATTTTGGTCTTCTTCTTGTTTGGCGTATTATTGCTCTCTGCAGGGATTAAAACCTTCGAAAGAATCTTATTTAATCCGTTCGATTGATTATCCGATTTTGTGCTTTTGCTTCTCGACCTTTTCACCGATTTACTTTTTTTCGAACTTTTGGGGGTATGTACCTGAGCCATTTCCTGCAAAACTTCCGGCGTAGACGAACGAATCTTTTGTAATTGATCGTCTATCCTCTCGTTGCTAACATTGTACGTATCAACTCCGCTGAGTTCTGCGTTTGCAAAATTCAAAATAGTCGTCGTTAGAAGGTGACTATTTTGCCACTCTTTACTGAGACGATCGTACGCTTCTTCGATCGCTAGCTTGTCGTTTGATGAATGTATGTCTTGAGCATGCTTTTTCGCGTGTTTCGCGGGTCCCCGTGGTAAAGAGAAATGCGTACTATCTCTAATTGCAAGCTTGGCTGCCATTGATGCAGCGCTAGATATAGAACTTGTGGAGCTGATTGTCGATGCGAACGAGAGCCTCGAAGGATTTAACTGATACAAGTGTGGATTGCTGTTTACCGAGCCAGGTGATGTATCTTTATTGTCATTTCCAGATATATCGGCTAACGAAGCCGAGGTATCGTTATTTTTCTGTCGTACTAAACTTGGCTCTGCAACAGTCTCGCATTGCACTCCTGTAATTTCTTTACTTAGAAATTCCTTTGTACCTTCGTCGATATTCAATACGCACTTCATTCTAACGTACATACCAATCTCCTTTTCTACTGACAACGGTTTCGTCATAGAAACGCTATGAGTCAAGTTAGATTTGCTTTTATCGTCCAGTATAAAGACATCGGGTTCGTTGTCGCTTACGCTTAACAACTCAGCGTGATCGCTGTCTTTGGACACGGGAGCAACCGTTCTGTTCTGCCTGTTTAGATTATGTACAGACGTAGAGCTATTGTTATCCGTTTTATCGAGTCCAATTGGCATATCGTTAAACGTATCAGATTTTACGCTAGCCGTACTGTCGAGATCAAATCTCTTGGACTCGTTGCTTCCATTTACGAGTTTATTACTGGATTTAGCAGTATCGAGCGACGACTCTTTGGGGGTTTCCAACGACTTGTAACTAAAGTCGCTACTACTTTTACTATCGCAGCAGCTTTTATATATCGTCTCAGACTTTGTGTTATCTAGGACACTTGGATTCTCTGATTTACCATCGAAATCTTCTTGAGAGGAATCTAACACGATCTTTTCTCCGTCTTCGTCGATCTGTACTAGCTCTTTGGATTTGGTTTTACTTTCGGGAATCATGGTTTTGTCATATATAAGTTCTATGCTCATCCTTGAATTACACACATTGGTAGAGTTCATATTCGAATGCGGTTCGTTTATCGTTTTCTTAGGAATCGACGCCTCTTGAGCATCGTTACTTGTTTGTTCAAAATCGATATGTTTCGTAGTTTCGATGCCATTCTCCTTATCAACCGTCTTTTCGATATCTTTTACACAATTGTCAGAGTTTTCTGATAATTGTATGTCATCTATACTCGAATTATTCGAATTTGATTTTATTATTTCGTTTAGCACTACTTTTTTAGAGGGAGATGTATTGTCTGTTTCTTTCGTTTGAACCGACGAAGATACGTTGCCGCTAGACTGCACGATATCTTTAGCGTCCGAAGTATCCTTGTTATGTTCTTTACTACTAATAGCATCGTTCAGTTTCAATATATCGTTAAAATTTTCATTCTTATTTATTTCATCTTCTTTCGTTTGCGAGTTTGAATGCTTTTCGGAATCCATAGTTTTCTCCTCGTCTTTCGAAGTTTCTTCAAGCATATCGTCTATGTCTTCGTCTTGCGTGACTTCTTGAGTTTCCGCTATTATGACATCTTTATCGTCGCAATCTTTAACGAGTTCATGATGAGAATCATCAGATTTAACCGAATGACAACTTTCTTCTTTCTCGAGAACTTTTTTCTCCGCAATCGATACATCTTCCATAGACGTCGTTCTTAAAATCTTGTGTGGTGGTTCATCGAACGAATCCGCTTTGCGTTTCATGTTCGTCGTTGCCGTATTACTAGGAACTTCCTTTTTCGAAGGTGAATAAACATCGGGTGGTGTACATTCTATTATATCTTCCTCTTCTTCAGATTCTTTACTCTTGTTTTCCGTATTACCAATATCGTTACACGATTCTTTCTCTTTTGTTACCTCCAGGGTGCTAGCAACATCGTTGCATGGATCTTCTTTTTTTGTTATCCCCTGTGATTCAGTACATTGCATCTGTATTTTGTCTTCTTGATCCTTCCTTGTAGCCTTGTCTTCGATTTCCATGGTCTCCGTTGCATTCAAAGACGATTCCATATTATCAATTACACGACACGACGTCTCTTCCGACTTGGTCTCTTCTAAATTGTCTGCAGATTTGTCCAGAGATTCATTGTCATCGAAATCAACGAGATGAAAATCTTGACTCTCGCTATAGTTACTATTTTTGCTGTGTTCCATCGGATTATCATGCTCTAAATCTTTAGGGCATGTATCTTCGCTCTCCATCGTACAGTTTTGTACTTTCTCTGTTTCTGACATTGTTACGACTCTTTTACCGGGTGCGCTGAAATGAAAAATAACAGATGAAAAAATATACAAGTTTTCAAAGTTGAAATTTACTTTTGCTACATTTAAGTTGAATCGTCTCGAATTAAACGCAATTAACGAAACGTAGTAAGACGCTTCGCGACGGTGTTCAAAAATGTTGGGGCGAGAATTCAAGGACACCCTATATAACGATACGGTGTTTACGAGTATGGAAGGTTACGGCGGGAACGTCATGTGATCGCGATAATTTCTCGAAAATTTCGGCTCACGAGCAATAAAACTTACCAAAAGTGATCACATACAGCTAGGCGTGTCCTCTGGAGTGGATTATTTTCTCTGGTTCGTCGAAATATTACATTTGCCGCCGGACACAAATATGTTCGCCGGCCGTCGAAAGCGGGAGCTCATGTATTTCTTCGTGCTAGTTACTTTTACGCTTCTTCCCCTTCGCTTCGTATCACGTATTCGTTTCACTTGTATGTTCTTTCTCAATCCTGATCACAACAATTACATTAATGAACCGGTCTCCCATAGAAAATACCTCGAAAACGCCACTTTTTATTCACAAAGGAACACAGACCATAAAACGCCATCGCCACTTTTAGGTAATCATAGATTATGTAATTGTAGATCCGCAGGGTTCGGTGTAGAGGTGACAGAGTTCGTGTTCCAAGATCGACCAATCGAGGCTCGCGTTGCGAATGTAACCGTGCCCGAGCCAATGCGGATACGTCGCTACTCGTCACGCTTACTAACAATTATTAACGAAATAACGAGAATAAAATGGAAAGCTTAACAGATCTTGCCTTAGATATATATTATGTATCGGGTTATCGAGGAATTCTTTTTATTATACGAAAGAATTTGTTATTTGTTTAGAACTTATCGCCAGTGTCGACGTTAGAATTATTAGTACCCTAACGCATTGTTTCAGGTTCTTTGAAAATGATTTTATCATTCCACAAATGAAAATGCCGCCTTAAGTTTCCGCTTATTATTCGTATTACAAATTAAAAATAAGCAAAACCTGAATTCAAACCTGAGTTTAAAGTTATGTGTACCGAATAAGATACCTTACCATGCCGTTACTAAAGAGTAAATGGCTTTTTTTGGTCGCATTGTTCAATGACGTCGTCTCCCGCCATTTACATCTATTTACTTATAACAGCTAAATTATCCATAATACAACTTAATTTTTACCACAAATACCAATACAGAGAACTAATGTTCCAATATACAAATAATTGACATATTCTTCTGCTATATAGTTTTTTGTTGTCGAAGCGTCCCTAGCAAGAGGCGCCCCGATGCGGCGGGATCGTTTACTTCTACATAAAATTCTACAATCTTGATTGTAGAATTCTGTTACTGTTACTGTCCATGGCCCTCTGGTGGCAAAATTAAAGTAGACACAGCTTCTATTTTCTATAAAAGTAACACACACTGTACGTAAATAATGGCGGATAACGAAAAAGATATTATTTTTCACATGAATGGCCTGAACTGTTTATTGAAAAAGAATTTGGAACTGGTTTCAAAATGGAGAGGTATATTCGTAACTATTGATTTCATTCTACGATAGACGAGGAAGTACGAGTATTTAACGCTGCATTTATTTGTAAGTCGAATGCGCTAGATTACAATTGGAATTCCTGAAATTATATACTCCGGAAGTCCTCGAAATTTTCCAAGACTTGAACCAACTGGTGGATACAAATACCGATTCGAACGATAAACCAAAATAAATCGATGCAACGATCACGGCGCCGAATTTCGAACGATTCAATTTAATCGGATGATCCTTTTCGTATTTATTGTACATTTTTATTTTAGTGGAAATTGTAACTTGGCGCGTAATCATCGATAAATGAAGCAAAATACACTTATGTTGAAATATATTTATATTATATTCGAATATAGGTCTGACACATAGATTGTATCCACAGTTTCGTAACATAAGGATAGACAATAATAGATATACACTTTCTTATCCGACCAAATGGAAATATATAATACAGTTAGTATCGTCACATCTCTTTTGCAATTTAATACACGTCCGTCCGCGATACAAAAACGAAAATAAATGTCCTTATCGCGTTAAATAATACAGCACCGTTCGTAAGTATGTTTATGTAACGATAATTGAAACGAATATATCGTAAAAATGTAATTCTTTGTTCTGCAAGCACGAGGATGTTGCTGGAAATCACCTTTAATCATTTATGTTATCGCGTCCATATTCGTTAACTATCGATACATTTATATATATATATATAATGTGATTTAATTTATTTGCGAGGGTGCTCATCCGAACTTTAATTATCCTTACTTTGATATTATCGTTTATATAAGGTGTCCCAAAATAGATGGTACAACGAGAAAGATTTTGTTAACCATGTTTGTAAACGTTTGTATAGAAGAAGCGTGAGTAAGTTTGTATGTTTTACTATCAAACCCGAAGGAAACTTACGAGGTAATTTCGCGCATTTCCAAAATGAATTTTCTTGAAAATAAAGGTATGGACAAACTTTATTCCGCATTTTTTATTCATTCTTTCGAGAAATATCATCTCTTCGCGGGTTCTGCTATCTACTTCGGAACACTTCTTTATATCGTCGATAGATAAAACAGTTATTGCAATTTGGTTAACGACTACTATTACAGTATCGATTTAGCGTTCTTCGCGGAAACGAAATACGACATTTCCTCGTATGAATGATAATAAAAATTTCAGTCGATCGTTATTGTCCCTCGTCGTTACGTTTCTTCGCAAAAGAAAGTAAACAAACGAAAGAAAAGCAATAAAAACGACACTCGAATCGTCCAGACGAGCCGGGTACCTCGCAAATGAGACAATTCTTTCGTCTCTTATTTTATAACATTCAGCGTCTTCGAACGTTCCACGATCCTTTCGTTACTTCTGATTGATCAATCTCGAGCGAATAATTTTACATCGCGCTGTCGAAGATGAAGGAAAAATTTGCTCTGCTCTGGTAACGTGGAAAGCGAACGAAACATCGAAAGTTGACTATGCGAATTAAGAAGCCCGATTCGAGGTTGACATTAGTCGGAGATTCGTGTGATTCCCAAGAGGGGATGCCCGATGCGACGCGAACTGGTCTTGCTTCGCCACTCTGCCCTTCGACCCTTTTTCTTATATCGGTCTAATCGTTGAAAACTGACCATGCTTTGACCACCATTTAATCGTCGCTCGCTATTGCGACAGCGAAGATAACGACGGTGGTAACGGTAATGGTAGACGCCTCAGACAGGACTCGCTGTTAAAGCGACATTGCAACGCGACTGCAGCTGGAGGCTGTAACTGAGACAGAACCAGGGCCGCGACCACGCAAGCCTCTTTCACTCTTTTACCCTCTTGCATCTCTCGCGCGTCGCAGATCTTGCTCGTTTCCAATCCGTAATTGTACAGGCATCCAAGGTCATCCTGTAGCTAGAATTTGTTGAAAAATTAATACACGAGATCGATGAACCTTCGAGAGATGGATACGTTTGAGTATAACCGAATAGGAAGTTGCTTACACAGGCTTTGCAGACCTGGAGCATGATACAGGGGAGGTAGAGTATCTGCGATTCGTCTTCAGCCAGGCCGTCCGCGATTATACATCGTTTCTCGATCGCTTCCACTTCTGGACAAGCTCTGTTCTCGTCGATGCCTTTGCGATAAATCGTATAATGTTATTACGATATTTTTACGATTCAATTTCGTTTACAGACTATTGGAAGCTACATAATCAAAGATTTATCGTGGTATTTGGTTTTCTAACTTTGTTATACGATACCTTCGTTTTCGATTATTCCATTGACGTCGTGTTTATCGCTGTGTTTAACCGGGCTATTTTCCCGGAAGCTCGAAGTTTGATTGCTCTGAGCGCTGGCCGCAAAGCTTCCTCTCATGTCGTTTAATGCTTTCCTCATTTTCTCGAGGGAGTACTGGGCGGCCATGCGCGCCAGCACTTTGTCTTTCGCCTGTCGTTTAATTCAACGATATTATAATAATTATCGAATAAGAACGGCGATGTTTAGTATTCGAAGCACACCTTTTGCAAATTGCCATTAACTTCCGAGTCTGGGTTCTTCAGATCTTCCTCGACGATTAGGTCCTTGATGTTCTTCAGTCTGGCAACCACTTGCTTCAACTTCTCCTTCCTCTCTGCATTCTCTTTGTCGTACTCCCTATCGTCCCCCCTCAGATCCTCACCCATGTTCTGAAAGAATTACGCATGCTTGCCATTAACTCAATCCTCTGGCGTTTACGTTCTATCCCGATGCAAGGACACTCATCTCCTTTCCTGATCCATTTAAGAAGACAAATCTAATACCGGTATGAATTCGTCTCGAATCGTGAGTTTACTGTAATCATTTCAATCATTTACTTTTCTTTTCGTTACCTCGTAATATCGTTGCAACATCCATTCGGCGTCCTGATTCTGACTTCCTGGATTAGCCATGAAGGACGTCCTCTCTCTCCTTCGGTCGATGCCGACATATTGGGACCAATCGTCGCTCTTCTTTCTCCTTCGGTCGATGCCAAGATATTGGGACCAATCGACGCTCTTCTTTTTCCTTCGGTCGATGCCGACATATTGAGACAAATCGACGCTCTTCTTTCTCACCTCGATGGATTTCGATTTGCCAAGCTTCGTTGCGTTCTCTTCCTGTCCTTTGGCCGGCGGGGTCACCTTGGGCGCCTCTGAGGTACTCTCGTGCTCGTGCTCGTGCTCGTGCTTGTGATCGATATCGCGACTGTGGTCATGGTCGTGCTCGTGATCATGGTCGTGGTCGTGACCATGAGTATGATTGCGACCGTCGGTGGATTGCGTGCCGAACAACGCGCCCAGATCTTGCGCGACCTTCGAATAAACGTTTTGCGCAAAAATTCTATTTAGCCATTATTACGTGTTTGTCCCACATGAAACGTCGTCTTTTCTGTAGCTTGAACTTTCCGATACACTCCTTGCTTTATTATATCGTTGATATCTAGGTGACTCGATCGACTCAATTTCCGAGTTACTTTGGATATTTTCAAAGACTTTACACGATGTCCAGAAATCATTAGCATCGTTCGTAGCAGAGATTGGGCACGATTTCGGCTTGAAAATGGGAACAGGATGGGACAGGTGGCGTTCCAATGGCCGAGGATTATAGCTGATTGGAAAGAGCATGGAAAATCACACGAAAGCTATTTCGATTATGTAAATTATTAAACTTTCCAACAAAATGTAGAACGTGTAACATTGTTTTACTCTAGCGGCTATACAAGATAACGTTGTAGGTGCTTGGTAACTTTTTTAAAAGTCACAAGCAACAGCAGAATAACGATTAATATATAATAATTATATAAATAATATACGATTACTCGTGAAATTAATCAACGTTTTGAGTTACCAATTTGATATTTTATAGACTCTAAACTGTAAGATTAGATAGCGTATACGTTTGCGCATACGTTGAAATGTTCTGAATAAGTTTCAGGTTGATCGAATATCCAAACAAACAGATGCCTTTGAAAACGACATTTCATGGTGGCATCTACGGCATCGTAAAGCTTCACGAGACTACCTTGGGGTCCGTGACTTGTTTGTTAGGGGGCATCGACTTTGCGCTCCTCTTAGCAACGGGATAATGTTTAGCCATGTTCTGATAGGTTCTGAGATCGTGTCCTATCGGATACCTCCCGTTCACGTTTCTCCGTCCAGCTAGAGAGAGGTACAGCAGATTCGGGTCTTGTTCTCGATCGGCGTATTCGTTCTCATCGGGTTCTCTGCCTTGGCCGCGAACCAGAGATTCCTTGTTCAGTAATTCACCCCAGGACATCGGACCCACGCTTCTACCATAGGACACGTTTCGTTAGTTTCATCGCAGCAAACGTTTCTCGAGTATTACGAGTGTATGTGTAGATATACGTATCGATTATGTTATTAAAATCAGAAAGAAAAACGATCGATCCACTGACTCGTAGAGCTTGTTGTTGTTGTCCCTATCGGCCCTGTAACGATCGTAAAGCATCTGACGCGCGTCCGTGTACATTTCGTCGTCCATGTCCCCGAGACCATAGGGAGATCGGTCCTGCAATTTTTCCACAAACAGTTTCGCTAACTCTTTCTGATCGATGTTTTGACGCTCCGAACTGCTACCCCTCTTGCGGCTGGAGCTCCTCTCGCGTTCTCGAAACGACGAAACTGGCTCTTCCTGAAAGATCGTCAAACGTTAAACCTAGAAGAAGGAGAAGCCTTAAACAAGACTCTCCAAGACTCTACACCGTGGACGAAGTTATCGGCCAAGTACATAGACTCCGTTATAGATTCTTTTTTTTTTTTTTTTCACCAACTGTTATCGAACGACGCTCGTTACCTGTTCCGGAACACTTTCCAAGTAATCTGTCAACGCTCTTTCTAGTAGCTTGTTATTCAAATCCTGGAAACCGTTCCCCACCGTTTCGAGCTGTCCAGCTTCTGAAAGAAATACTTTTTCTGTACGTTCTATGCGGCTCGCTGTCTACTCTATCGGTTGTTTGCGTCGAGCGTGAACGTTCGTACGTGAACTAAATGACCAAAACGATAACAGCGTTTCAAGTCGTTCCAGCGTGGACGCAGGAACCTTACCATTTGGCAAGAACTCGATCTCTTCGTCCTCCGCGTCGATCTCTCTGTCGCCCTGTCGATCCCTGTCGAATTTTCTATCTCCCTCGCCGCCGTGGTACTTGTACGACCGAAGATCATTGTAATACTCTTGCGAATTCGGGTCCAGCGATCGTTGCTTCCTGGTGACGGCGTCTAGAGCACCTTTCAACGACTCGTCCATCGATTGACGGGCCACGGGCGCCATAGACGTGGCTGTCCCCACGATTAACAAGATCAAGAGCCATTCTTGCCGCAGCATTTTTATCTTCGAAAGGAAAATGTTCCTCTTTATTAACGCTTCAATCGTTCATTTAATGGAGGATTTTAACAAAAATTTTAACGCGGACCATTATAGAGACCCTTATACTGTTAAAAAACAACTACCTGAATTTGAGAACGTGTCCGATAGATGCAATAAAGATGTCTTGGAATCTGTTCGAACGGAAATGATTAAATAAGTTTGCCGTATTAAAAAGATATGAGAAAAAACACGTGGCGATCACGGGGTTGGAAATCGGTAGCCCTGTCGAATGCTCCACGCCTTCAGCGAAGGGTGCAATGTATGTTAGTAGTTCCGAGTAATCCGCCTTCGGTCAGATATCGATTCTGCTAAAAGGGCAACGAAGTCCCTCGCACGGATGAAGACGTAGTAGTGAAATGTAACGAGTGACGCAACGCGCGAATCGTTGCCTTGTATCGAACGAGTTTATCCTGCAAGGAAACTGTTCGACACCTGGTACGCTTCGAAAGAACCCTCGAGTTCTCCAGAAGCAAAGTACAACCGAACCTATTGTCTTTTTATACGAATATAACACGGGCTACATTTTATTTCCATAAAAACCGTAAGGTGCAGCTAGTAGCTTTACAAGTTCATCTTCCGGATGCTCCACTTGTCAAATAAAAATTCCATAAAGATCTTTTACCGCTTATTTGATCTTTCGTGTACCTGTTACTCCCCGCGCGCGTGTGTATGTGTGTGTGTGTGTGTGTATATATATATGCCAATAATTAATAATATCGCGACTACTGAACGCCATCTTGACTTAGGACGTCGGAAGCGGAACAGTTCACTCGAGCGACCGTTTGTTCGATCGAACAAACGATTCTCGTTCATGTTTGATCAAGATCGTTCACCTTTTACGCGAACTCGCGACGGTCACGGACCGGTGTACTTGATGGACGACGCTAACAGATGGTGAGGACGTACGGCAAACTTGACATACTCGAGCCACCGATAACTCTGTTGTGCGTTTCAGAATCGCGATTACTTTCGATCGGTTCGCCGAAAAAAAGGCTGTTACGGCGACGACGCGAAGCATTTTCGTCCGAAAGAAATAACATTGTCGCGACAAACGAAGGTGATGGAGATTTGGGGACGGATGAGGAATCGCGGAAAACTCAAAGGAACTCGGGGTGGGTTTGTCGTACTTACTTGGCTTTAATTACACATTCGCGTGACACTGAACGATGTGGTTCTGCGTGATTGTTTCCTCTCGGTTGCAGCTAACCGCGTATACGACTCCTCAGTCCTCGAGTACGTGGAATTTTGGTCTGTCTTCCATGACTACCGACGACTCGGGCTTTTATATAGAGCCCGAAGGGATCGATAGAAACACGCATGCGGTGCATGGATCTGACGACGGATTCGGACGGCAGCAACAAGTAAACGCGCGGGGTGTGCCTAAGAAAACACACCGACCGGAAAATTATGGAGGCGCGAGTCGAGTTTCCGCGACGGAACGGCCGATTATTTATTAAATGGCCAGGAGCTCGACCATCTTTATACGAACAGGATTCGCCGATGTTTAAGCCCTTGTTATGCCACCTGCGAACATCGCACACCACGTGTCCAGTCGTCTACCAAATGCACTCCAAGACCCACTGACGATTTTACTTTCGTCATTTTTGTAAAGAAAAATAACCGAACAGCAGTCATCTCGAAAAGGGCTGATTTTGGTACAGCGATTAATCGCATGTTAGCGAGTAACAAAAAGATTATTGTCCGGCAAATGCAACTTTGTGCATCAAACAGTAAATTAATCAACTAATTCTCCGCATGTTTTATTTTCTGGAAAAATATTCATTTCATATCCCGTTACGTACGACTTCCTTTACCGATTGATCTTGGATTAATCTTTGTCGAGTCATCCTAGTATCCTAGCCTAGTATCCATATTCAGAAAAGTATGTTACAGAAATTCTTGACGAAAGTGTTAGACGCGTATAAGAAGAGACCCTAACAACAAGTTAAAAGAAAAAACATTGCGAACAATGTATGCTCGAACAATATTTGAAGGATGAGTCGCTAGATAAGGGGTACCCTTTTGTTTCTTTCGCTTTGATCCGACGTCAAGTGGTGTTCAGCAGACGGAAAATGGGTAGCCAGTTTTATACCGAACCGAGGGTGTCTCCGAGTGTTTACCACGTCGCTTCTTGTCGACCAGATCGAGCTTTAACAAGAGGTTCTGCTCTTCGATGAGTGGAACTTGAGACGATTTTCCGCGCATCGATACAACGAAGATAAGCGGAGTGAAGCTAATGCGCATAATCTGTGAACGTACGTTTGATTTTTATTGGAATCAAGTACGAAAATTAATCTCGTGACAAAGAAGATGGTGTCGCAATCCCAACCTGTAGTTAATAAAAGAATTACAACCCGAGGAATCATTTATTAGACCCCACTCTTCCTAACGAAACGAAATTAAGACTAGGTATACGAAATCGATCGATATATCGATTTGTAAATAATATTTAAAAATTAATTTTTCATCTCTGATGTTAAGTAGCTTTTGAAGCAAAGTAAAGTGCAAGCGATGGAAAAATGGTTGGGTCCGGTCGAGGGGTAAGTAAAATTCCCGCCAGGGTTAAGGAAAATTCTCGGAGATCCGCGTTTCGTTTCTATGGTTTCCTCACCTTTCACGGTTATCGAACGACGCGTCGGTTCCATTTAAAGGAATGCGACCACCCGCATGCACGTGCCCGGTAGGGGTAGCCTCAGAAAATTCGTTCGTTCGAAATGCATACAGTATGCGATTTAAAAATATTTACTCCTTTTCTTTGGACGGGACTCCCCAACGTTCCATTGTGCCTTTCTTTGGTTTGCATGCTCGCTATTATCGAGAGGGATAAAGTAATGCCACTTGTAGAATAATAGAAGCAAAAAGTTACTCTAAATAAGATTACGATAACGATGGCAATGTGATCAATTGATTTCAATGACGACGATGGTAACGCTATTAATGCTATAAATACACGGATGTCTATTGAAACGTTTCCAAACAGTATTAAATTCTCTGCTCGCCAAGTTTCCCTTTGTTACGTCGCAGAATCGCTAAATTTTGATCGGTTCCATTGTTTGCGCCGACTTTCAGCGCGTCCCAATGCACGACGCTTATCGTCCACCATTGTCCCGTACATCGTTGAACCGACTCTATTGATAAGCGCGATATCGAACCTTCGAGGCTTGCCACGCGTGTTACGTTATCAATTTTAAAACAAATTAAAGAGACATTAACCCTTACATGCACACCGATATACAGGGTGTCCCAAAACTCGGGGAGGAGCCGGAAATGGGGGGTAGCTGAGACGATTCCGAACAACAATTTCCTTTGCAAAAATGTCGGATGGGGCTTCGTTAAGGAGATATCAAGCGAAAACCCCGACCAATCAGAGCGCGCGTAGACCGTTCGAGCGGCCGCGGTAGCGTATAAGCGCGGCCGCTTAGCGCGTAGCCTTCGCTACCACGGCCGCTCCAACGGTCTACGCGCGCTCTGATTGGTCGGGGTTTTCTCTTAATATCTCCTCAACGAAGCCCCATCCGACATTTTTGCAAAGGAAATTGTTGTTCGGAATCGTCTCAGCTACCCCCCATTTCCGGCTCCTCCCCGAGTTTTGGGACACCCTGTAGATCTGCGTCGTATGTTTAAAACCTCCGTTTACATGAATATGAAAACCTAATATCTCATTATGTAGCAGCAACCTTCGCATGTGTGTTTTCTTTTTTTAATTTTAATTTTACCAAAAGTATTTCATCGTTTCCGAACGCAACTAGAGTCTTTGAAGATTGTCACAGATCGAGAAATAAATTGTCATTGTTGGCGCACCACACAGCGGTCACGTAGCAAACGCAATGTTCCTTTATGTTTAAATAAAGGAGAGGCGGTTATACGGATATTTATTTATCCGACGAGGAATTTCGTCCACCGAAACGAAACTCGTTGATGACCACGGACGATACTACGGCTTTATCCGCCATCGCGATAACGAGCCAGCTATCAGCGATAACGGGGATCGAAGAGGATCGGCGTTGGTCTGCCGCGGCTATTCCAGACAAAACAATTTTCAGTGATCCGCTAAAGTTTTGCCAAGGATGACAAGAACGAGACGCGCCGCCGGCTGGGAAAATCTAGATGTCCTGAAAAACGGATTCCGTCGATTCATTCGACACTCGAAGACGAAATAGAAAAGGGAGGAAGAGGCGAGGCCGTTTCCTGCGCTACGCTGACCTGTTTCGCCGTAATAATATTCACGCTTCGCGGTTGATCGATCGTTGTATTCCCTCGCCACTCGACGAGTTCATTAGAATTAATTAATTCGCCGAGGTCTACGTAATACCCACACGGGCTGAAGAAAAATCGTGTAAGCAGCGTCGAAGTTATGCTCTGGACCATTCACCCGAACAACGTAATTCGTCGTCATGGTGCAAGAGGAAGTGGCGCCGAGCGTCCTTAATTCCGTCCATTCTGGTAACTCCACCAATCGTAAAAGATGATCTTCATAAAACTGGCCTGGTCGATAACTGTTATTTTTTTTTCTCTTTTTTTTTTTTTTTAAACGTATCAAATTTTCAGCAACTTTCTAAATTGTATCTTCATTTAATCCGAAAAAATTCACGGTAAAAATCCGAGGGTCTGCGTTAAAATTGCAAAATTTTCACGTCGTTTTTCCTAACACTGAGATGATCAATTTAAATCGAAATAGACTCGTATGATTGTTATTTAATCAAAGAATCCTCCATGAAATAAATTTGGAGGAATTTGCGTATCCCCCAAATGTCTACTTTCGTAGCATTAACTATTCGAGTACCCTTATTAATCGATCTACTTGTTGCGTAAAACGATAAGATAGGAATGTTATTGAACGGTTGCAACGGCCTTCTCTTAATTGCATAGATGCCAACACCGTGAATCTGCAGATGATGGAAGTGCAACGAGACCAAGTGTCCTACTCGCCTCCTGTGCTTTCCGGACCAAATGTCATTACAGCACAGCCACAAGGTAAACAAACGCGATATGCATTCCTACCTTGTACACCTCGTCGATATTTTATTTATCCGTGTCGTTTGGTATAGCGACGATAAGATGATCTGTTATCGGTGAGAGAGCGCGTGGTCCTCGAGGACGCAGGAAACTATGTTCTTTAACAAAGTTTAAACTTTAAAGCGAAAGTGTTTATCGCGATTGCTTCTTTACTAGCACTTGCACGTTTATGTTCCTAGTCGGAAGATTGTTCTTACAAAGTTACCCGCCAATCCTTGGGGTCTACCGAGAAAACTATTACGAAAGATAAACTGTCAGCCTTATTATGGATCGAAACGTCGAGAAATAAATGGTGCAAGTTATCGCGTTTGCTTTAATTTCTATAAAGCATCGTTGTCCAGCACGTCTTAGGGAGCGGTAAAAAGGAATGTTTAACAAGAAAAAAGCGTTTCATAGGAGACGTTCAACAACCGAGGAGACCGATTCCAATCAGCACTCTGGACTGGACGTCGACCTCGAGATCTCAACTTAGCGCTCTCTCTGGAAGTCACTTCTTGGGAAACGTGGAACAGTTGGAAATACAACAGGTCGTCGATCTAAGGACACGTTCGTATCCTTTTCTATTCTACGAAGAAAGAAAGACTATATTGTACATGTATCATTAATGAAATATGCGTGAATAATGTCTTATTATTATATTAATCGAGCGAATGATTTGTATTCGTTAGTGCTGGCTAGATCGAGAAAGGGTTTCCAGTACAGAGTGAAAGTGCCAAAAGCGGAAACGTTGTTTTTGGCGATGGAGACGAAACCGGAGAATCGATCGGACGGATTCAGTTGTTCTAAATTGCTGCGCGATGATTTAACAATGAACATTTTAGATCAATGCGGCGAACCAGCGTTTATCATGAAAATCAACTCGAGGTGGACGTACACTCTGAACAAGTTACGCGTGAGTTGCAAATCTCACGTTAACAGGGAGCCTTGTTCGTGAATATACGATATTTGATATCAATATAACGAACTTTCTTTTTGAAGTGTAACTTCTTATACGACCTTTACCGGCTCGAGATATATGATTTAGTCATTTCTGTGTTGAATAGAAAATTACGGTGGGAAGCTCGAACCTAATCGGAACCGTGGAAGAAAATTTCAGTATTATGGGGCCAAGCTTCACGGTCTACGATGCAACAAGGAACGAACTTTGCAGCATATTCGGACCAAATGTTTGCGGTTGCTGCATGTACAGTGAAGCGCAATTCCAAGTATATCTGAGAATTAATTAGCCAAAGATAGTATAAGCTATAAAATCGCAACCCTAATCGCAACGCTAATTTAGAATACGAGTAGCTATCTACATTGTCGATGTACGGTTGCGCCATCGAGCATAAGAAATGAGAACTGTTCGCCACAATTTTATTTCGGCGTTTTCATGTATTGATATACAATTATCGGTTATAATATATGGTTGCAGGTAATTTCAGTGGATGGTACCCATCAAATTGCATCTCTGATGCATCAATGGGACAATACTTTACGCGATTATATATTATTGATCACATTTCCTGCAGACACGAATATAAAACTGAAAAGCTTGCTTCTCGGTGCTGCATTTCTCATGGTAAATATTCGACGTCGTCCTTCTCTCGTATAAAAGGATCGAATCTATCGTAAAACTGATTTCACGACCTTTAAAGTATGTTTCCGTGTAACGATATTATGTTCCGATACTATGGGAAACTATAATTCTTATTATAACTCGAAGCGATCGATTCGATCAAGGATCGTATAATTGACTTAATCATCTTATAGGATTAACTTCAGAGTAATTAACCCTTTGTTTACCGATGCACTTGCAACTAGGATCATTCATGGTATACAGAATGAAACGTATACAATTATGTACGTTAGGTTATATAACGTATTTGCTGGTTATGACGCAACAAACATTTACATATAGTAATATTTGTTATAAATAAACAAACATTCCATATACTAGCTCTAATGTCAAGAAAAATATAGTTTAAATTGGTCTAGCATTAATGAAAATGAAGAGAAAAAAAATTACGATTATCATCGATTCGACTAAATTATACTCTATTATGCTCGCCTCTGGGCACTTAGGAGTTTAGCTCGCATCTATCTTTTTATAGAATCATGTCATTTCTTGTTAAACATGTTACACGATACATTTTATATGACATTTCAGGAACACATGTACTTCAAGCGAATAAGAATGTCGCGGACTTGAGCAAAAAACTGAGAACACGCTAGCATGTTGTTCAAACGTAATTTCTTTGTAAATTCATGCAAGAATCCAGATTCGCTCAATAAAATAAGTAATCGATTCGATAAGTAATTCCCAGATATAAAATATACACGTATAGTCATTACTACGTATTCCTTCCGTTTCCCATTTCATTTTTTAACAGTGTTATGTATAGGGATTTTAGGAAAACAGAATTCCTGTGGGAAAGGTGTCCCTCTAGTGGCGAGTACCAGAAATGCAAACTGCCACGATCACGATGTAATAAAACTCACAACTTAATAAAGCTCGTCGTATAAATATAAAAGCCAACTGCGCAGTTAATTGCTAAAAGTAAAAGTATTTTCGGATATTTTTTTTATTTGCTTCTAGATTAATTTTCGCGGTTTATCATAAGAAATGGATCTTTTAGCCATCGTTGGTTTGATAGTTGTGATCTATTTCCTTATATATATGATATGTCCTTGGTTTCTAGAGTGTGATTTAAATCTCGCCTTACACGAGAAATTTGGAAAATCCATAAGTAAGTGTTGCTATCTTCGAAAGAATTATATGCGAAACTAGGCCCAAAATTAAATAAATGATTCATCTGTGTTTATATCCCTTGAATAATTTTTTACATACAATGTACTAAAAAATTAACAAAAATAGTATAATACATGAAGACAATCTCAAAATCAATTTAGTCTGTAGGGAAGAATGTGACTATCCCTCGTAAAGGTAAAATCGCACGTGTACAAAAAGAAAAGAAATTTATATGCGATACGTACAACTATCAAAAAACCCATGGTTTTCATATAAAAAGAATAACTTTGGATCATTGTTACCTATAATTTTTTGATCATTTTTAACGATGTATCGATCATAATCCAATCTAATTGTTCTTAGATGTTGCATACTCTTTGCTTTTTTCACATGTTCTTTTATCATAGTCAATTGTGATGTTTACATGCTCCTCTTATAGCATCAAGTATTTCCACATGTTTTATTTAACAACAGCTGTATTATATATATTTTAAAAAATGTAAGTAAAGCAACCACTAAAATATAGTTTTCTTATGTAAAGACTATATGTATATATTGTGTATACCTTAATTTCTTTCAACTCCCCTATTATTTTCTATAAATTTTTATTACTCTTGTTTATTTAGTTAACTATTTGAATCTTTACGTTAATTATCATAAATCGTTCTTACTGAAAAGTACAACAATTCTACAAATATGAATTTTTTATTTCCATTTAAGAGGAATGTTAGAAAATTTTTTTTTCCATTTTATAGGATCTTTAGAAGGAAAAGTAGTGTGGATAACAGGAGCATCGAGTGGAATTGGAGAACATCTTGCCTATGTTTTAGCAGATGCCGGTTGTAACTTAGTTCTATCTGCACGAAGGAAAGAGGAACTAGATAGAGTGAAGGCCAACTGCCTTCAAAGTGAATAACTTTCCTTGTATATGCATCTGCTTACTGTTATCTTTGTATCCTTGCTTTATATCCTTGATCCGATTTATTTATTTTTAGGAAATCTAAATTTGAATGACTCGCACATCTTAGTAATTCCTCTAGATATTTGCAAAATTAGTAATCATGAAACAGCATTTAAAGAAGTTATCAGTAAATTTGGAAGGGTATTTATGCTGTAAAATTGTTTTGTAGGAGCATTTCGTGATTGGATTTTAATTTGAAATCTGATTTCAGTTGGATATACTTGTAAATAATGCGGGTCGTTCTCAACGAGCGCAATGGGAGCAAATCGAACTCTCCGTCGATAAAGAAATGTTCGACTTAAATGTGTTCTCGCAAATTTCTTTAAGTAGATTGGTGGGAAAATATTTTTTTGAAGTAGGCGCAGGTCACCTTGTAATCACTTCCAGTTTTGCTGGTCTTGCGGCAGCGCCATATTCTGGAACTTATTGTGCAACTAAACATGCGTTACACGTTAGTTACATTAATATTGGAAACTCCCTCTCTCTCTCTTTGTAGTATTTACATATTTCTTTTTACTTCTTGCAGGGATATTTTAAGAGTTTTATGATTGAAAAGTTGGGTCAAAATGTACCAGTCACTATGATATGCCCAGGACCAGTACAAACTGATTTCTTGTCCGTAGCGTATACAGACAAATTTGGAGAAGTAAGTTCTGTCGTAACAAAACGTGTACCAACTTTTTCAATATCATCTTTTTCTTAGACGTATGGGGAAAATACAAAAGTAAGCGTCAAAAATAAAGTTAGCGTCGAACGATGCGCTGTACTGATGGGGATTGCAATAGCGAACCAACTTCCTGAAGTATGGATTTCCAAGCCAATGGTGCTTCAACTATTGTACCTGAATATTTATTACCCAAATATAGGCACATGGTATATTATTTCACAATTACTAAATTTTGTGCTCCATCTAAATACTAACGATACTATTTTATATTCTAGGATATTTAAAGTATTAGGACCAACATTTTTGCAACGTTTGCGGGACGATAAAGAAAAAATTTAACAAGAACATTGAATACTTCACATTTGTCTTACTTTGTTTTACTCTGTTGCGTATGTCGATGAACCGATTCTAACTTTGGAAATTTCTTATACATCTTATTTTGGGTAACTCTGTTGGAGAGAAGAAGTAAAATAAATTTTACATAAATAACATTTGAGTTTCTTTTAATTTATAAATTCTATATATCTATAGTATTGTACACAAAATTATTGTGTGTTTTTTTGGATTAATCGCGATTTGAGCGCTTTTCCTCTCATTATTGCTTCCTTAAATAGACTACAATAGAGTTCTATGGCACAAGGTGTATCATCGTTCCCAGGAACAGGATACGTTATAAGATTTGGGTTACAGTTTGTGTCGACAATGCCAATCGTTGGAATAGCCATTTTGGCTGAATGTGTCACTGCTATGTGCTGTTGGATAACAGTCTCCATAGTATTAAGAAATATACATAGATCTGGCAATCTTGTGATAGCGCCAAATTCACGTGGAGCGTTTGTAAAAGTTCCAGGTTTCCAATTTCTGGTATGAGCGAATTCTCCGCACTCCTTAGCAGTTGTTTCAACCAAGTAAGAAACTTGAGGATTTTTCGCGATAAATAAAATAATTCCGTCTCTGAACGCTATATGAGCAGCAAAATTTAACGCTTGGCGCAAAAGTTCTGCGGTTTGGTCTAAGTCGATTATTAAGTGACCGAGTCTAGATCCGAATACAAAGGGTCGCATGTGTTCATCCAGAGATCCTATCTTATGTCCGTAATGTACTCTTGCTTTAAACAAATCTTCGACAGTGAATAAATTGTGAACTTTAAAAAGATCTGGATGATTCAAAGGATTTATCAAGTCTTGACCTTGAAAAATTAAAAATATTAAGATCTCAAATTTTATTGCCTGGAAAGTAGCCTAGAAAGTAACTGAAAATATCTCTTTACCACTGGTGTTATCCTGTTGAGGTTCCACATTTGTTGATAGCTTGCACCATGGAAGATATGTAAACAATGGTCGTAAAATGTTTCCGTCTTTCCATACTACAACAGAATATAATAAAAATAAGACACTCGACAGCTAAAAGTATTCGACTAGTTCAACAGAATCACTGTCGGCGTACTTACATTTAGACGAGAATGTTCGTGTAGCGACGCTGGTCATTTTGACAAGTCTGTTGAATTAGGGAATATTGTTTCCTGTACGATAAATAGCTATAATTTTCCTGAAATAACAGGAATGGTAATGGTTTCATTCAAATACCTTCCTACACGATAGGTTAGTAGAGAATTTGTTTCTCAAAATGAATAGAAGATGATGTTTATGTTGAATACTGGAAACATTTATTTCTTTGTTCTAACTTCGTATGCATTACGATTTTTAAGTCGCTAGTTATTAACGGCAGTAATACAATAAAAATACTGTGTTTATCCAGTACCACAACTTCGAAACTCCACAATTACGAAACTCCGAACACTCCGAATCACTCCGAATTGTTACGAATAACTCCGAATTCAGAGTGCACATGCGTTTTCTAAAGATGGATCAACGTGAAGGTAGCCAAACTACTTTTGGCTTCTTATCACCGTGTCAGGTTATATTTTAATCTTGTCGTTGAAAACATATGATATTCGAATAAGAATGAGCTCAGAAGATGATTGGGACGTGGAACAGCACAAAACGGAGCACGAGTGCGACGAACATTGGGAACTTAGACGGAAATTTCTATTAGCCCATAAAGATAAATTTCCAGAAGACGAGCTTGTTTGTTTGGCACAAGTATTTACTAATGTCGAGTTACTCGGTTGTAGGTAAGAAATCGTTTCTTTTAAATTGCATCACGTAAAACATTTTGGATTCAGTAATTTTAATAACGTCTAACTTAGATATCCTAAAGAAACGATGCAGTTAATAGCAGAACTAGCTCGAGACATCGTCGAAGATTACAGAGAAAGACAAAAAAAGAAATTACAAAGAACGTTTGTAAAAGCTTCCGATGCTGCTAGTTCAAAGGTTAAAGGTATACCTAAGAACTGTGAGTTCTACGGTTTGTTAAACCTATATGTAAATAAAGCATGTTTCACTGTGTATTTCATAATATAATAATATAATATTATTCAGGACTGACTGCTACAACATCTACCAATAAAACCAAAGCACAAATAAAAAATGCAAGATCGCCAAGTAATTTTAAAGATAACAAAGTATCCACAAAAAGGATAAAACTCCGTGATACTCCCTTTGGTGATATGGTGTTGGTAGAGAGGCCGGATGATACGCCGCAAAATATAATTGCTTGCGCAGTCAATGCATCAGGAGGAAACATAGAATGGAAAATTGATAGAACAGGTGAATCTTGGTATGTATTATATATACTGAATTAATTACTCAGTTCTAAGCGATTGCTATTTTTTATTTGATTACTCTTCTTTGCAGCAAATGCAGTATTTTTATAAATTCAAAACCATTGACAGAAGCTTGTAGCTCTAATCGAAAGCAAGCAAAGAAAGAGGCATCCATTGTTGGATTACGTGAACTACAAAAACATTATTATACAATTAAGGTTTGTAACCAAATTTTCATTTACTTTTATGCTTGGCAACTTTAATAATTTTTTTTTTCTCAGATTAAACATAATATAAAGAC